ACTTAAGTACATTTTTTGAGTACTTTCTCCACCACTGCATCAGACTAATAAAAAGTTTGTTTGAAAGCTTTTATGTTCAGGATGTGTATAAACCTAGTGCTTGGTCTAGGTTTTGTCCCATCCACTAACTTTCCCTTATTAAGCAGGAATTACTGCTTGGCCAACCAGCCTCTTTACTATCCACCTTTCATGGCTAATCTTGTCAGTCTTCACCTTGATTGTCACACATGATCATAATGTAACATTTCTGTAATTAAAACATAACATCTTAAATGGTTTTCTGAAAGATACATCTTTCAGGAAATAAATTTCATTTTCAGTAGCTGCAAGAAATAATTAAAAGAAATGGAAATAAACTCTTATGTCTCACTGAGTGTAATGTGGAATTTTCTTTTCTTTTTTTTAAAGAATTTCTGAAATAAATAAACTTTTTCAGATTCCTGCATTTTTATTACGCTCCTGTGCCCGTGACCAAAAGGTGAAGCCATCTGCTTAAAATGAACAAACGACACAAAACAGATTAAATTACCTTTATTTCACCCAGATACTGTTAACATCACATCACCCCATGTTACTGCAGAACAATCACGGTTTTTGTCACATGAAACAGTAAATGACTTTTTACCCTCATGTCCATTTGAATCACTTTGGTTGTGACGCTGAAATTTAAGGGTTAAACTTCCAACACTTAGAAAGAGCCATCTGATGAGATACAGCTTTAATCCATTTCAAATAAAGAAATTTTTTTTTTTTTTTTTTAACTTTGTCATTCACTAATCAAAGATGAACAAGTTTTTAAAAATGTGCTGCATTTTGTCGCTCGTTTGTGCTTTTCTAAACCAACATGTCTTTTAACACCTGGGACTACATTCAGTTACCTTGAAGACAAGAATAACCTTCACTTCAAATCAGCCAGGAACAGCTCCTAAAAACACCCAAGGTCTAAAGTGAACAACAACTTACGTGAGGAAGGTCACAGAAAACATTAAAACACCATGAAGGGGAAGGGCTGCACAAGGACTGAATCGACGGTCATTCAGGAATGTAAACATCTGTGGTAAGTGGAGCACATGCATGCCCGGTCCTCAGAAATATAGTTAAAGGTTTATTTTAAAGTCCAAAAGTTGGATTTGTTTGGATAAATATTGCATGTTAAGTTTTCTGGTGTCAAGTTCATCTTTTATTTGTCTCTTATCCCTGATTTTAATAATGCTTAACGATGAATATTGTATGAGAATAGCTTACTGATGACAATAGTATTTTTGGGGCGAGGGGGAAAAAAAAAGAGAGAGGCCAAACGCTCAGAGAAAAATAAATTACAAGACCAGAGGGAAAACTGCTTGATCTGATTGAGGTTCAAACTCAGATATACTACGAGCTCAAGTAACTGTAGAGTTGGTGTTTTATCCGTTAGTCTGAACAAAAGACAAAACGCTGAGCAGGGGACTGTAGCTGCACAGTTTCCACATTCCTCAGACTCAGCAGGATAAAATGTGTCTCTGTTGAGTTAAAATGTCCACAAAGTCTTGGAAAGAAATCTCAGATTTCATTACTCCTTCTCTCATGCATCTTTTCTCCAGTTTTACACCCGAAAGCAGTAGGTATAAACTCCCAAATGCATGTATGAAAAGTCACATTAGTTTTCAATCAGCTTCAATATATATATTTTATTGACTCTGATAGAGCAGCACTAAGTAGAACATGAACGTAAAGTGGAGGGAAAACAATGCATGGCCTTGAACATTTTTAATGAACAAGAACTCCAAAAACAGAGCCATGTGTTTGTATTTAGCCCTCTTTATTCCGATACCCTTGAATAAAATCTGAAGGAGTCACTTAATTACAAAATACAGTGCCAATGTTTACCAACACCATCAGAAAGAACAAAATCCCAGCAGACAAGTCCAGTTTTGGAGATGTTTAAATAAACTTTAAGTTAGAAAACATCTCCTAGAGCACTGTCTAAACATTCAGCCAGAGCGGCAGGGAAACGATTTGGATCAAAGCCCAGTCCTGCGTCGGAATGGTCCAGTCAAAGTCCAGACCTGTAGCCAACTGAGAATCTATGACAAGACTTGAAAATTGATGCTTAGAAATGTCTCGACCTAATCCGAGTGAGCTTGAGCTCTTCAGATTTTTATGTGCGAAAGAATTTTAAAAACCATGCATCATTTCTTTTCTTCCACTTCTCAATTATGCGCTACTTAGAATGAGACACACAAAAGTTTGTGGCGCCAACGAGAGGAAACGTTTATGCGACCGTCTGCTCCTCTATGCCTACATTTGTTTTGTATGGTTAAACGTACCCAGATTTGCAAAAGTTCAACAGAAATCATGCAACTCTCAGTAAATGTTAGGATGTGGCTGAGTAGAACCAAAAGATCTGTTTCAGCATTTTCACATGAGCAGTGGTTTGTTCGTGTGTGTCTGGTAAGCAGAATAAATAATATGATAAACACTGATTATTAAGACATCAAATAGCACCATGTTGGCCCATCACTGGCAGCAACCGTCGCTACATCACATTTTACAGGGCAGATCCCTTGAGGATCAGCTTAAGATCCACGATTAGATGTCGAGAGGCTTGTTTTAACGCAATCACTTTCCCAAAGGAACTCAGGTCAAGAGGTTGCAATTGTCGATAGATTTTTTTAAAAAAAGCATCAGTACCAATTTGGCAAAAAAAAAAAAAGGAGCAAAAATCCTGCGTGTTTTGAACCAGTTGTAATGTAAGCGGGTTAAAAACTGTCTGCCAACCTGAAGTACAGTGATTCGTGGGATCAAACGAGCAACAAGTCACCAAACTAAAACTAAACACTGCACAGAAGAAATGTTCACTTCAAACAAGTTCACACAGGTCACAACAAACCCGCTGGGAGGAACGTTAAAGGGGCAGTACTAAGTAAAGTCGGCATGTTCTAATGTCATTCCCTTCTCAACAACATACTTTTGAGTGTTGCCTTGATTCTTTCATGCATGTTTGAGAAATCCTTTAATCTCAGGAACAGAGGCACAAAACACTTGCTCTCACAGAGTGACGTCTTTTCCACAAAGCTCCTCCAGCTGCAGTCTGCAAGCAGAGCTTCTGCATCACACAGCACCCCTTCTCCACGACTCCCACACTCATCCCTTCAGACTAGCAGCAGCAGCAATTAGAAAACACCTGGTGGAACTGTGCATCTACTGAGCTCAACATAAGACCTACTTCGCTGTGCAATTCTGGCAAGAAATGTTGTTAAAGGCCTAATGGAAAAATGTTGTAACGACTTCCTGAAGGTGGAGCAAGAGCAGGAGCTTCTTAAAGAGACAGGCCCAATTTCAAGGCATTAAGTTGTAATGTCAATTTATTTTTTTTAAGTCATGATGGATATAAACAGCATTTATAAAACAACTTAAGGTGACAGTTGTTTTCTTATTCTTTGAAATGGCGTAATACTACCCCTTTAAATCATTTCATCTAGCCCTGTGCAAGAATCTTTTTGCAAAAATCAAAAACAAAAACAAAAAAACAATCACATTGATAAAAGCAAATATTTGGCCCTGATTTATTTATTTATTTATTTTTCAACAGAGACTGACTGTGAGAGGGAGACCGCAGATGTGGATGTGAACATTGGAAATAAGACAAGAAAACCTAACTTTGGCACACTGAATGAGGATGGTAGTCAGAGCAGTGAGGGCCGACTCTACAGCTGACCTATGGCAGAGTTTGGACACGCGCTCATAGCCCTTTGTTGAAGTAGACCCGCTCCACTCCCGGGTGGCTGGCCCAGATTTTCTCCTGCAGCTCCGGCTCCAGGCGGCTGACGGACATGGAGCTGGATCGGACGTGGAGGGAAGAGTTAACGTGGCTCAGGTTGAGTTCTTATCGGAGCAGAGTTATAAACTCACTCACCTCTTCTGAGGGAACAATGCGCAGCACAAAGGAGTGGCAAACACCAGGCTGAGAAAGAAACGGCAAAGACAATAAATGTGGTTGTGCTATCAGAGTGAGCTGTTACACAAGTGTAGCATATAGGGCACAAAGATTTGCGCTCGGAGTCCTGATAAAAAAGAAAGTACACCCTCTTTCAGTTTGAAGAATTTACATATCAGGACTTATAGTGACGATTTGGTCCAAAACATTCAACTGAGTCTACTCAAAAATGTAAGAATGCTGTTGCTACTTCCATAGGATTTATGAGGCAAAGTAGTTGCCACTATTCTAACGTGAGAAAGATTACTCTCAAGAGGAAAACGCAGTGGGCATCTTAGCACATTCTCCACAGCTTCTTTGAGTCAAAAGCCTTGTCTTACCAACAACACGGCAACACAACTTACGATTCCAAAACTTCATCTGAATGAACCGCAGGACTTCTGGAACAATGTGCTTTGAACAGCTGAAGCTAAACTAAGTATGTTTTACCATAACAATCCTCAACAACCTTCTTTTTCACTGGTTATACTGCAGTGAGCGCTGCTAGTGACCATCTTCATATCAGAACAGCTTTAACTTGAACCTCTGAAGAGACGTGTGCAGCAGATGAATAATTTTTCAGAAGAGGAAACAAAGCATTTCCTCTAAACACCTTCGCTGTGACCTGAAGGTCTCAGATTGCCGCTTCAATCCTGGGATTATGGTGATCAAATGTCTCCGCTGCGAGAAATTAGGCTGATATTTGAGAGGACTCTCATGAGAGCTTATCAGGTGGGCCATCTCTGACCACTCACCAGAATCCCACCAGGCTGACTTGAATGGGTGCACTCATCCATGGAAACCTCTGAAAAGACAAGGCAGAAAAATGACCGAGGCACACAAAGGCGGCGGGGAACTCCCATACAAGAGCGGTATGGTCTCAGCTCTTTTCATTCCTCTGTCGGGTCGAGGCTGAGAGGGGGCCAACTTCAACTGACTGTCTAGCTTCATGGGACCGCCGCTTTTTGTCTTGAGGAGTGCAGCTCACGCTTACCTTCAGGAAAGCCTTCTTTTCCAGGTGATTCATTAAAAACGGAGGGATGGCTGGAAAGAGACATACGAGGCGTGACTTCGCAGAGCGTGCAACTCAGATTATTAATATAAAGTCTGACCAAACAGAGAGACTCATACCCATTCCCGGAGAAGCCATGAGGATCCTGGAGACCACGACCTGAGAGATGGCCTGCTGAGCAGCTTTAGTTGACTCTCCTAACCTGTTGTCATTTTCGTCTGTTATGGGAATCCCATGTTGAAGTTCTCTGAAGACAAATCAACCAGTCAAGCTTCGTTCATGCAGCACCTTTCATTAAACGTTGCAATAGAAAATGATCCTCAAGTTGATTAGAGTTTCTAGACACTTTGATTTCATATCCGTCTGGTCAGAAATAAATCTGACGAAATTCGCACAGTGAGGAGGATGGCAAAGAAGGCATGAAAATTATCTTAATCTTAGAGATTTTAAACAAAAAGTAGTATTTTGTGGCCACCATATCTCCATTAGTATCTGTAGTCATATTCAATAAATTACGAGTATTACTGAAAATTCACAAATTTAATTCACCAAGTTGAACATCGTATACAGGTGAATACCACAGAGACTGAGGCTTCCAGGCATTAATTTCTGCTATTTGTAGTGATTTTCAGCTTCCAGCTCATGGAAACATGAAACGTAAGATTAGAAAGTTACATCAGACCAATAAAAGCGTCTTACTCCAGAAATTAGAGCTTGCGTTATACCTGCTGGGACATTGTCATCTTCAAAAGCTAATCTGACAATCGAGCCTCATCGGGACACACACTTCTTCTTTATCGAGTGCATCCCAACCAGGGGCTTGGAAGTGACGCTGTTCTACGACAACAAGGCTAAGTGAGCATATTCCCGTTCACCACCCCTCCTTCACCTTTGTCTCATCAGCGGGATGTTGATGCAGTTAGCAGCCGCCACAGCAGCAAACGGCACGAACCGTCCAATCAGCGGAGACACGTGCTGCGGGAGAGCAACAAACAGGAGACAGAGTCACCTGACTGCTTCGTCTCCGAGGCTGGACTTGAAGCTTTCCCCGTCAAACAGCAGCACGTCCGTCAAGGAGGCAACACAAGAGCTGCCATTACAATGGGATGCGTTACGGGGTTAGATGAAGTGGTACCTTTGTTAGGGCATTTAGTCCTAGAGCGGTGGCGACTGCCCCTGTGGTAGCAGAGATATAAGCTGTGCCAAGCTGACTGCAAACAGAAAAGTCCGCATTAAACCAAAGCGGTCCGCACAGGAGCGGTGGAATTAAAGGGTTAATCCGTACGTGGCCGAGTCCGAGTCCGAGCTGCGACTGCTGCCTCCTACCTGACTGTGATCGGAGCGTCGCCGCTCCTGTTGGTGTAGTTCACTATTGCGTTGAAGGACTGATTGATCCACTGCCAGAACAGCACGGCAGGAGTTGTCCTGTGAGAAGAGCACAAGTAAAATAAAAATAAAATCAGCTCTCACTGGTGTTCTTGTTGCAAACAGGATTCAATGTTTTTTTTATAAGGTGATTTATAGTGCCTTGCAAAGTGTTCATTTTTAACATATTATAGTATCAGGACTATATGTGATGAATCAGTAGGGGGGGGAAAAAAAGCACATAGTTATAAAGTGTTAGGATTTTATCAATTAGAACTAGAAAATTGCAGGATCCTCTCTGGGTTAATACTTTTGGATATGAACTGCTCTTCTTATTATATGTACTTGCAAGTGTTTTGGGTTATGTTTCTACCAGCTTAAAAAAACATTGTTATTTATTTTTTTGTTGAAAATACTTCATTTTCAGTCAGAGTGAAAGAAGAGAATCTGGTCAAGTTTTGCAGCAGAACCTCAAATGGATTTTGGTCTAAACTTTGACTGGGCCATTCTTAACCAATTAATATGCTTTGATCTAAGGCATCTCTGGATGTATGTTGAGGGTCGTTACCTGGTCTGAGGGTCAACCTCCACCCTGGCTAGTGGCAAACTATAAAAAACACTATTTCTGTCCTACTGTCAAGAATTGCTTTCTTCATGCCACTCTTCCATGAAAGTCGGATTTGTAGAGTGCATAGAGGATGTTTCTCTTGATTATCCTACCTGAGTTGTGGGTTAGGCAGTAGACTGGTGGTCTATTGCCTGGTTTTCTAATCAATGATCTCCTCAAGGTAGATTTTAAGTGTTGCCTTAATCTTCTCATATTTAGAAAATATTCATAACAGTCCTTTCTTAGGTGTTGTATAACTTCTCTATTTATCTCTGACCTGTCTGCTGCATTCCTCGGTCTTTATGACGCCGTTTGTTCACTAATGTTTTGTAATGTAGCAAAATGCGGGAAAAGAAAAGATTAAGTGGTATGAATAGCTCTGCAAGGCACTGGATAAGCAACAGATCAGAAAACGTCCCAACAAAGTTCGCCAAGTCACGAGGTGTGTGTGTGCAGATCTTACTTATAAAACGTCATCATACATCCAGTGATGGTCATGTTCATGGGAACCTGAGCCGACATGCGGCCGATCAGAATCATCTTCTCCTCGGTGTCGGGATGAAAGGCCGAGTCGAAAACATACTTGGCCCTCCACAGTTCGTCTTCCGTCAGACCCGGCGAGACGATGCCTTTTCTGCGAGATCGAGAACGTGTGAGCAAAACCCTCTTCCCAAAGTCACTCCCTGTTCCTGCTGAACTGCTTTACCTGTAGTCAGTGATGATTGAATGTGCATGTGAGAGTTGTTCGTTGGTCAGGAGGATGTTCCTCGGGTCTGTGACGGTGAAGAAATGTTTGGCTCGACCAACAAATGTGCTCTGGTCCCACCGGGGCTCCTTGATGTTTATGGAGGTTGATAGCTCGGCTGCCATATTTATCTTACAGAGAGAAATGGTAAAAGGATGAAAGGTGTTAGTGAGTGCTGGGCGTCCCTCCAGTACAAATGACTTGTATTTGAGGGGAAAGAAGTCAGACAAGTAGTACTAGAGAGATACAATGCTCCTTTCAGTTCAGTATAATGTTGCCATGGCAATGACCAGACTTGGCACAAGGATTGTTAGGCACCCGGCCATGAGTGCAGCAAAAGGGTAAATCTCAAACTGTAACTCAACAGCAGTTTGCAAAAGGTCTTAAAGGGATTGGAGGATTTAAATCTGCAAACCAGAGCCTGTGAGTGTAGAAAGTGTGCTTTTAGTCACGTAACTTTACATTTTATTAAAGAAAAAGTTCTACCACAATATGAAAGCAAATAAGGCAGAAAAGTCAGAGAAGACAATTATAATAGATGTGCAAAGCAATGAGTACGCTCATTATTCTGAGTAAAGGTCGCTATAATCATTAGCATGCTGAGTGGGGCCAAAGCGACGAGGAAAAACTTTCAAACTCTTCGTAAGCAAGGACACTGAGTAATTCTGATGATGTTACTGCACTGCAAACTAGCTGGTACTAGCGTTGCAACACAGCTAGTTGCTGCAGGAAGTAAGAAAAGTAGCAGTTTTAAAACACCATAGAAGTTATTTGACTGAGTTTTCCTGTCGATTTGGCAACCAACTAAGCAGCAAGAGTTGCGGGAAAACAAAATGCATCTTTGCTGCTTTGCAAGTTGTGAATGACAGGGTGAATTTAGGCATTTCATCACCACCGTTAGTGCAGTGTCAGCAGTTTTTAGTTTTATATTTGTTGTTAAGTTTCTCAGTGACATGTGGTGCCAGTGTTAAAATAGCGAAGTTCTAATGATTTGGTATATTTCCCTACCATTTCTGGGTATTAGTGTATTAAAATTATTTTTTCTGTGCACCAGCATGAAACCCCGGCGAGGTATTACATCATTTGGACCACACGCGCGATGAAAGAGGGGAGGAATCCAGCATCATGACAATCAGCTGCAAGGATTTAAGCATTTAACTGCTTCACAAAGTTGCTTCTGTGTGCCGTGCTGTGTTGTGCAGAAGGCATGCCGACTCAATTAAAGGTTCAGAACATTAAATCGGTGTTCTGGACAAGCGGTTGCGGAACACTTCACTTAATGTAGTACAGACATTGATCAATATATTAATAGCATTAATCTGATGCTGAGAGAGACAGATTAATGTGACACGAGAGGACTGAACTTTGTTCACTGTCGGCTTTTAATCTGCAGACCCTGAGCTGCTTCTGCCCTCACTCTCAGCCAATCGCAGGGAGCCTTCGTGGCTACACATTAACCTGAAATTCACAGCAACTCGAGATACATTAATCACATAATGAACACAAGCAGCATCACAGGAGACATTAGAAGAGTGACTTTCTACTGTTTACACGCCGCAGCTTTCTGTCAGTCATCGCAGGGTAAACACGTTGGATACGCTCAATGCCCAACGATGCTGAAGTTGGCATCTGATTAGAAGTGTCGGATTCTGCTCTTCGTTAAAGGGCTATTCCGCTACATACAACCTGTCCAGAGTACATTTAACTCACTATAGTTAGAAATATTACATATTGGTGACGTTATTGTGTGTTTCTGATGTTTTTATGTTTTTCTGATGTGAAACACTTTGAACTGCCCTGTTGCTTAAATGTTATACAAATACACTTGATTGATTGATTTAAACTTGAATTGCATGGGTCTATGAAACCTATTTTATATTTTATGAAAACCCCATTGTTTTTTGCAAGATTTTGTTTTAAACCAAGAACTGTTATATAGAATATGTTATGTGTAAAACAATTTTTGTCATTTTCTGATCTGAGGTGCAGCTCTTTTCAAACTTTGCAAAGTGGTCTCAGGATCAATTAACTCACAGTTTTCTAGAGGGAGTTTATGCAAATGGCATGAAGGTTTTCAAAAGTATTTAATAGAATCCAACAATATAGAACAACTCTTAAAAAGCTGTATTTTGTAAGCTGAACTCAATATAAGATGACGTGAAACCAAAATGTGTCTTAAAAAAACTAAAATTACAAATATTGCTTTATTGAATCGGTCATCAGTGTAAAATAACTTTATCTGAATTTGGACCAATCGTGACATGGTGTTGAGACAAATAAGTAATTTTCTCAAATTGAAAAATAGTTTTACAAACACCAAACTACATGCTACGGAATCTGCAATCACTGTAAAGGTAATTCTGAAAAAGGTTTGATCTGATGTACTTTTAAAATGGCACACCTCAAAATGTGATTAAGAAACAAGAAAGTAAAATCACACTTCTTTGACTCGTTACAATTTGAATGAAGGTGTCACAACCTGTACTTTATAGGATTTGTCATTAGTGCAGAAGAACTACGTCCAGGTGGTGTACCTTTCAAGCTAGACTTTATTTGAGATAAACTTTTTTAGGCACAGACAGTTGTAACATTTCTTTTGTTGAGTTTTCATAAGTCAAATAATGATTGCCAAATCAAATAATGATTGATGAAATCAGAAACTATTTTACAAACTCTGCATAGTTTTGATCTCTGTATTTTGTAACTTGTATGGTAAAAGATAAACTCCACGGAAAGTCGTGAAGACCAAAAAAGCAGGAAACTGCTCATTTTTGAGTTTTCACAAATTGAATTAAAAAAAATAAATGTTTTACAGAATATTTAAAGAATGCAAAATAGCCCAACAATAATAAACCGAAATCCAAATGAATTCAGGTTAAATTTGACCATTCTAAATAATTCAGATTTAGAACTAGAGTGGATTACATCTAGACCAGAGAGGTTAAATTAGCAGAATTGCCCTTTAGTCAAAGTGCCGTGCAGGAAGCTTCGAATCGGATGCCAACTTCCAACCTGACATAGACCAGTCAGATCTGGACTGCAGCTGGAGCTGCAAGAACATCTGGAAGAACAACAAGCACGAATCCTCTTCTAATCAATCAGACCCAGAGCTTCCTCATTTCTAGCAGAATAATAAGGAACCACATCTGTCAGACGCCAGCTAGTTATCCAGCTGTGAGACGCTCCAGATTCAACTAGTATCAGCAGGCGTTTTGAAGAGCCACGGCATCTGATTTGAGTCCCCCTCCGATCGGAGGAAGCGGGGTTCCTCTCTGCGGATCCAAATCAGATAAATGCACAGGTTACTTACTGCACTGTGGGCTCCGGGTGTCTGTGTGTGTGAGAGAGAGGGTGGCCCTAACTGGCTGCAGCCAGCTAATTTTACATGCAGCAGCGTCAGTACAGCAAACACAGAGCGTTCCCCCACAGCCCGGAAACACTACACGGGAAAATAAAAGTCCTACCTCCGTCCATACTGGAAAACACAGTTATGTATGCTCAAAAACAAAACAAAAACAGGCGTTTTGAAGAAAGGACACGAACGTCCTCTCCTATTAAATGAAATGCAATATTTAGGGAAAATATTATGTGAAGAAAGGACACGAACGTCCTCTCCTATTAAATGAAATGCAATATTTAGGGAAAATATTATGTGAAGAAAGGACACGAACGTCCTCTCCTATTAAATGAAATGCAATATTTAGGGAAAATATGTGACCAAGAATGCCTCAGCCCATTTAATTTTTGATAACAAGCTTTTTATTTTGTAGACATTAACCTCCGCTAAAGCTGTGACATTGCTGCGAAATTTATTTTCAAGGCAGAAAATCATTAATGCGTTAAAACTTTAGAAAATCCACACACTTGTGCGAGAAAATTGCGGAAATATGCGAACACCAGTGCTAAGGTGATAAGTCCTAAAACAAAAGCCATTTTAGTTCAGAACATAAATAACAGTTCAATGAAAATAAATAATGGAAACGATAAACATAATTACAATCAAAATATTCATGAGTTTATGCAAAGTACAAAAGATAGACAAAATATGTTGTAAAATCAATAAAATCAACTAGCTTGTTTTTCCCTCGGTATCACCGCGATGATCTCATGGTCAGCGAGTTACAATAAGAACTCTGTCTCCATCTAGTGGTGACTCTGAGGTGGTGACTCCAATTTCGTCCGAGATTTATCTGGGCTCACGTCGAGAACGAGTAGAAACAGCAGATCCACTTACAAATGTAAATATTTTCTCATTTATCGTATGTTTGATTGCAAATAAACAGTTGTAAAATTTGTTTTAGGATATTTTGATGTAAACATAAATTAGAATAAAAATGTTTCAGCTGAATACTTTCAATTTGAACAGGAAGGAACCCAACGTCACATTTTTTCTGTCTGAAAAATGCTGTTACAAGAGAGGTATGTTTAGATGTATTTATAGGTTTTACCCTCTAATCTATGAACTCTACAATTCTGAACTATTTAGGTAGACTTATATTGAAACCATTAGTCCACATCAACTTGTAGATCAGAGTAATTAAAATGTTTCTTTAACAAGCACAAAACATCAACCTTACACAAAGCTGTACAGGTTCCAATTGCAAGTTGGAAAGCCAGTGAAATTTGTTGCAAGCTGTAGTAAGCAGTCTGCTAATTAGGAATACAAAACAATGATTCATTTACCTCAATTACATGTGTTCAAATATCAAATAAACATGTTCACATTTGGGTGTCATAAAGTTATATGTCGGTTTTGTCTAATGAAAAAAAATGCTTGAAGTGTTCATAGATAATTACAAGTGCAACTTTCATTATATTTTTTTACTGTATGTCCAGCAGCTATACTTCATACCAAGACCTCTGTTGTTGAGTTTCCCCAAATGTGAACTTGAATAATCTGACCTCCGAACAGAAAGTGAATGCACCGTAACTGTCGAGGGAGAGAGGGAATGCCAAAGTCTTTATTTTAGATAGTTCTGGCTGAAAAACATTAAGTTATACTACACAAGTAAGGTCATTTGCAGCAGTAATGCAGGTTTCAATAAATACATTGTGATAACAGAGGCAGAACTACTTGAAATGGTATAAAAAGAACATTCTCCCAATGCAATGCAGCAAAAAGAAAAAAAAAAAAAAAGAAAGCAAATACAAAAGTGTAAATAGATTATACACAATTCTGGCTTTTAACCTTATTATTCTACTTCCAGAATATGCTGTTGTACTTTGGCTACAAAATAAAACCTATAATGCTTTCACTGCTTTCTTGGATATAAGGTCATGCCAAATACAGGATGCAGTTTACAGACCTTATTTGGTCAAACAGTCTATCTTGTCATCAGTAATATTTTGTTTATTTCCTGACATACCAGCAGGTAGTGTAACAGTACAGTAAAGAGTGGCAATCATTCCAAGCACTTAATTCATGCACAGACAGGTAAAAATCAAGAAGAAGTGAAGAAGTTGTGTGTGAAAGTCAATATCATGGCACAAAGCCTGTGTACCACCACAGTCTCCTTTTCTTCAGCCTCTGTGCAGCCTCTCATTGTGTTGTTTACAGGAAGTAGTCTGGTGTGCGCCTCGTCACATGGGGCTCTCCTCTGCGAGGCGCAGGGTCAAACTGGAGGCTAAAGGAGACATCAGAGCTAATGGTTACTTGTTAATGTATTTTGCATTTACAAAACAGCAGAGTTCCACTAGAATATTTGGATTTGGAAGAGAAACTGCACTTACAAGGAGTATTTCAGGGTATCATCGAGCTCCATGATTGCCGCCTGGTTTCCACAGCGATAGCAGTAATTTGGTGCACTGAAAATTGTCACTACGTTGCGGTCGTGGCACCAATTAAAACCCTGGATCAAGAGATATGCTAAGTGTTACCAACTGTTGGGGCCATAAATGGTGTTTAAGATGCAATCCTGTTTCCATGGTTGTTTAAACATGGGCATGATAATCTGTACGCATCTGGAACATGACTAGGAGGTAAGAACTATTCAAACATATTTATGTTTCCCAATAAACCGAAAGCAAAGGCCTGCTTAACCAGTTGGGGTTGAATTTCAGATTAATGCACGTGCTGTATGAAGAGAATCTCGTGGTCATGATGTCTAAAAAAAAAAAACAGCATCAGTCACTTAGAACCCATTTCTTACTATTCAGTGAGCAGTGAAAGTCACAGTACCTCCATCACCAGCTGGTGGGCTCTTGAAACTAAAGTTAAGCCGTTTGCGTGGTTGAAAGTCTCAGATATATCCTGGCCGAATGTGTAGCCGGCACCACGGGGTGAGATTCCCCAGCCACCACGGTCATCTGGGTCAGACCATAGCAGGTCACACATAGGACCCTAAGACATAGAGCAAAGTGTCAGTGTTGGTGGAGCATCCCTGACTTTATACATACATATACATCACCCTCTACTCTTTAACATTGGTTTTGAACCTACAGAAACACTACTCCTCTCTGCATACTCTCTCCAGAGCAGTGGTGTCCAATGTTGGACATGTGGGGACGTTACCCAGCCTCCTTCTGGATGGTTTACTACTTGAATACATATGAATCAAATTAATTGTTCTTTTATGAAACCTTTGCAGACGTTGATGACATGCTGACAATGTAATTTATCCATTTCAATTTGCAAGACAATGACTATTAACAACTGGAAGTGGATTTTAGAGCGTTAGATGGACCAGAAGGCTGAGTTCTCTCATTTGCTTTTTGTCTTTCAACTCCTCAGGATTTCTTCGGGATTTAAGTCTAAGGACTGAAATAGCCAAGGAAGACTGATTAGTGGTTGGCAAACTTTTCCTCCGAGATAACTCGGAGGTAATATGCGTCCAATGCATACTCAAAAACAAAGTCTAGGATAATTCTGGATCAGCTGAGACGGCCATTTCAACACATCCCCTAGCCAATGCTACATGCACATCTGAATTTGTTAATTTCCTGGCATTTGTCTTTACAAATACGGCTGATATAGAAATCACGTTATGTCAGCCGATGGTTTAAATTGCGATGGGGTGAGCGTACCTCATGAGGAACCTCCTGTAACCGATCCAGCGCTCTGATGTGCTCCAGCGTGTCTATGGAGGGGGACAATCCTCCATGAAGACAGAAAATCTTAAAGGCAGGAAAGTAAATACATGAGTCTTTGTTTTTGGTTTTTACATAACTCTGAGTACTCTCCTCTACGGTGCTCCATGTACAGCGCCTTACCTGGTTATCTACTAGTGCGGTGAGGGGCAGATAGTCAAAAAGGTCTGTGAAGTACTTCCAGACATTAGCGTTTCCATACTTCCTCAGGCACTCATCATAGAAACCATACACTTGCGTGATTTGTCTGCTCTCATGGTTCCCTCTGAGAATTGTGATTCTTTCAGGAAATCGTACCTATTCAAACAGAAAACAATGCACTTTCAAAGGGTTCATAGACATTTTCTTTTGTGTCAAGATTAATTTGCAGACTCACATCCCCAGTGTTCAGAACCAGTTTCTCCAATAACATTAAAATATTGAACACAAAGGCTCACAATTGAAGAAAAGAAAAATATTTTTATAGCACCTAGGGTTTAAATATGCATTAATGTTAGAAGATTAACCTTTAGAGAAACCAGCAGTGTCACTGTCTCCACAGAGTAGTAGCCTCTGTCAACATAGTCTCCCATGAAGAGGTAGTTGGTGTCTGGAGACTTCCCTCCAATCTTGAACAGCTCCATGAGGTCATGAAACTGCCCGTGGACATCTCCACAGACGGTCACCGGACATCTTACCTCCTGTACATTGGACTCCTTGGTAAGAATTTCTTTGGCCTGGAATAAAGAGCCGAGAGAAACTCAAGATCATACCGGTGCCTCCACAGAAACCAGTGATATACTTTACATGTGGTAGTGACAAAGAACAAAAGACTTGTAACCGTACTTGAGACAGAAGATGAAAGAGAAAGAGAAAATTTGGCAGTTCAGAAATATTTTAATTGAGAAAAAAATTGGACAGGAATGACCTGTTTTAAGTCACAGAAAACGAGTGCAACATTCTTTAAATCAAAGATGTTTGTGTGAAAACTCCAACAAAACTATACAGGTAATTATTTTATATTCTTAGTGACATTAATATAATTATAATTATTCAGGTGACAGGTTTCCAGTTTAACAAGATTATGGCATAACTTCCACCTTGGAAAAGCCCCTCCTTCTGCTGCCTTCCAGACACTTTTAAAATGTAGGAAATTATCTACGAATCTGGAGCATGATGCCTTACAGCCTGGCAAAAAGAATTTACCTTGCGTCCCGAAACACCAAGCGGCACCATCTCGCCACTGTTTGCATGTATATAAAAGCAATAGAAAACTTGTTCAAGGTCCAACTGATTTTTTTTTTTTTCGTGCTCATGCTTCCCCATTTAATGCTGCCCTGGGCAATTGTCAATGGCCCACATCAAAATTCACCAATGGTGGAATTATAGGTATTATGACCAATATATGGGGAAAACAATAGCTGTTGTCATCTTTCGGATCGTGCAGGAGGTTAAGCCTGAGTCTGCCAGAGCGTTTTGTGAAGGTACCAGTATGCAAAACAAATTGAAGGCATTTCTCCATATTCGAGTAGCATCTCTCGAATACGGAGGCTGCAGTCAAATGGTTTCTGTTGTTGCGGAAAATATCCCCTTCTAAGTCAGATATTCAGAAGACGTGCCAGCTAGCTGTCCTCTAGCCATTAAATCAGCCTATAAACATTAGCAGTATTTACCTTCTCACACAGGAGTTTAACCTGGTTCTCTGTTAGCTGTTTGCATTCATTCAGCTGTTCGATCCAGCCATCCACCTCCTTGGTGAACGATTTGTCATCCATGCTTGTCAGCCTGCAAGCCGACCAGCTTTTAAACCCGCAGGAAACCCGGTAGGTATGTTGTGACTGCTCTGCGTCTCCCAGCAGGTGGTGGTGGTGATGGAGGAGGATTGGGATGGGAGTGGTTCCCCCGTTCCTGCAGCTGGTTAATACAGATGTTATGATGTTTACATGCACTAATAGTGCTGTTCGTTGTTATCAGAGAAAATAACAAAGAAGCTCACCTTTGCTTACCTTGATCGGAAAGCGACACTGCAGATCAAGGCGTATTATTTTTAATGATGTCACCACGCCCAGCGTGGATCAAATCGTCTTAGTTTAATAATAATTTTTTAAAAAAAAATTAAAGGTATGAATAGCTATATTAAATTACCCACTGAACTATATTCTCTGTTTGGATTATAAAAATGTATACTTTATCATGTAAACCTCAACAGATATTGCAGGTCACGCAGTACATGTGGGTCCGCACCATTTACACGCCGGGGAGGGGAAAACGGTCAAATATTGTGAAGTTAAAATATTGGACGGTATTCATATTTTTTCTGTAAATGGCTTATAAAGATTTTCTTTTGTCACTCTACAGAGGCTTGTGTAACTTGGTGTTTAGGTGTTTTGTTGTTGTTTGTTTTCTTCTTTTCTTTCTTTTAGGGGTGGGCGGGTGGAAGAAGAGGTGTTCTTTTTGTTAGCACTGAAATTGGAGCTTTCCTAAGAATGTCATTTTTGGCCAGTCTCTGCCTTATTGTTGAGGCATGAACCTTGTCCTTAACTGAGGCCTGTGAGGCACAGTGCTTTAGTTCTTGGCCTAGATTTACCTGTAGCCACCTGGATGAGTCGTTGATGTGTTCTTGGAGTCATTTCGGTAGGTTAGACACTCGTGGAAAGGACTCCTACTGTTCCTTGTTCTCTTCATTAGTAAATGTTGGCTCTCACTGTAATTCAGTGGAGTCCCAAAACCTTAGAAATTAGTGTAATAGCTTATACAATGAAATATTTCAATGACTTTAGTTTCTGGACTTTTTTTTTATTTTTTAGTTTGGATCATGATATATAAGTTTTTTTAGCTAATGTCATATTGTCAGTCAGGTCTTACTTCTTTTTATGTTAGCGCCACCTGCATTTGAAGTTTGACAGAGATATAGGGCTTTCACTGCAAAATTTCCCTTGGAGACTGAGAAATGTGATCAATTTACTTACAACATATATCCAGTAACATTCTTAAAACTGAAAAACACAAATATTATTCCTTCCTTATCGGATCCTTGAGTATTTGGGTGGAGTTTCACTGCCCTTGATGCATAAAAAGTATGGAGAAGAAAAATGTAATATTGTTCTAACCAATATCCTCTTCACCAGTAACAATATGCAACAATAAATTATTTCATGGTTTCCTTATATCAGACAGCATCAAGTTTGTTTGCTTCATCTAATAATAAAGCATTGTTAATATTTGTTCAAACACTGTCTGTAATTAAACCTATAATAATAATAATAATAATAATAATAATAATAATAATAATGTTTGGGGAGTGTCATTTCCAAAAAAATATATATTTTAGGACATTTTTGCTCGACTTTGACCATCCGAATCTGTCAGAAAATATTTCTTATTGAAACAACGCTCCTAAATGTACTTTTCCTGAAATGATTTGGTAATTTTTTTTATTAAATTGTTGCTTATAAATCATAAAGAAGGTAGTTCTAAAAATAAATAAATGAATATTAAATTTATAATTGATAATTTCGGTCGGGATATCAGTAAAGTAATAAAAGGTTTAATTAAGTTTTTTTTATTCTAACTTAATAGAGATTATTTAGTTTATTAATATGAAGTTGAATTATGTTGATTTCAGCATTACTTTTTCTTCCTGCTTAACGCTTGTCCACATTCCAGTTCAGTTGGTGGCGGTAATGCACCATGACAGTTGGTCTGCCAGCCGCCATAAAACAAAACAAGAAGAAGAACAAGAAGAGGAAGAAGAAGAAGACAGCTCCTTCTCAGCTACACATGCGCAGTCGCTCGTTCTACTCTGGACAGCTGTAGGAGAAAATGGCAGCACACATGCTAGGACAGCAGGTAAGACATTGACACTTTTTTCGTCATCTGCAGGATTTTACCTTAGTCCCAAGCGATATTAACCAAGCTTAACTGGATGCCATGTACATTATATATTTTTTGGTTGTTAGAGGGGTTCGCTAAATACTCACAAAATGTTTACGAGTTTAGTGCACTTGAATGACTGCTAATGTGTTAGCTTTGCAGCTAACTGTCTGTAACGTAAACGGCATAGAAGGCTTCACAATCAGATTTAGCTTGCTCTGTGGTCATTTCATTTTGTTAACGGCTCAGTGATTATTTTTCCCCACTAGGCTCGCCGGTTCAGCACGTCTGTTATCAGACCAGCAGCTAAACTGGTTAAGGTAAATGAATTAGACTTGCGCCGATCAATCATTAACACAATCGCCATCATTATTATAATCGACGGACAGCTGGACATTGGAATTGTTTATTGTACACTACATCTTTATTTCTAGCCTCCCATCCAAGTCTATGGAGTGGAGGGCCGCTATGCCACAGCTCTGTTCTCTGCGGCCAGTAAGCAGAACAAACTGGACCAAGTCGAGCAGGAGCTGGGGAAAGTTTCTGTAAGTTGTGTAGTGCTCAGTTCATTCTTAGCTAGAATTAGTTTTAAGCTCAGTTCAAATAGATAAATATTTAAATCATTATTAGTTCACTACCTAAAATATCCAGTCTCAATTCACTGTTCCAACTGGAACCTTCTATATTTTTCATTTTTTCTTGCACAAAAACAAAAATTACATCAAAGTTAGTCAAGTTTTCCCTGTGTTCCTGCTTTATAAGAGTGTTAAGAATCCTTATAAAGCAGGACTCTTAAAATCACAGCTCTCGTAAATGATGCATCTGCGGTGAGTGGATTTTAATTTATTCATGCCCAAAGCCAGAAGAGGGTTCTGTAGGTATTTTTGTTTTCTGTAAGTTAGCAGCAATAAATAAATGTAGCACTACTTTTTAAAATTTAGTTTTAAATCTGATCAAGTTTTTTATTTATTTATTTTTTAAATTGGACTGACATTACAAAACTTTTACCTAACACCAATTTTTTTATTGTGAAATTACTTCATAAAAATAAAATAAACTAAAGTGCTGCCAGTTTATCATTGTTAATCCAACATAACTTCAACATTATTCTTTTATTCTGCCTTGTTTTCTTAGGCCCTGATCAAGGACCCCAAGATGTCTGGTATTATAATGAATCCTCATGTCAAGCGCAGCATCAAGCAGAAGACTTTCCACGATGCCCTTGCAAAGGCCAATGTTTCCCCAATCACTGTCAACCTCATCAGTGAGTGCAGAGCTCTTGTTTCAACCACCATGTTGTCACTGCAGTATAAGTTTGCTCATTAGACCATGGAGGTCTTTAAAACTTTTAACTGAGAGAGTAAATTTGACAATTGACAAGGATGTTAGATGTGTAAGGCTAAGTTAAAAGTTGACTTAAGCCTCAGATTAGGGCTGCTACTAACCCCTGTTTTTGTTTTTGTTGTTTTTAATTAAAAAAAAAAACTTCTGTAATTTTATATACATACATACACACTTATACACAGCAACTTGGAGAAGAACAGTCTTACCCTATTTTAAAAAGTTTAATAAATTTAAATTGAACTGAAAAAATGCATGTAAGCAAAAAATATTGTCAATTATAATTACCGTTTACGTCATCAATTACTTTGATGAGTCAGTGCAATTTTATATTTTTTTTTATGCAACATTGAGTTTAGTTAGACTAGACAGTAATATGAAAAACACATGTGCACCATTAATAAATAATACACCAGAAAGGGGTCTGCAAATCCAGGCCTCGAGGGCTGGGGTCCTGGTCAGGTCATTAGCAGGACTGTAGAAAACTTGACTGCAAACTGAGGGGATTCAGGTGTGTTGGACCAGGGATGCATCTAAAAGTTGCAAGACACTGTCCTATAGGACCTGGATTTGAAGATCCTGTGTCTATTCTGTTGGAGATCAAAAGAAAGGAAAATGTGAAGAAGCTACTCTTGAGCATGCAGACTAAATAGATCTCTGCATGCTCATAAGGATTCTTTTTGCAGTGTCTTATTTAACGGTTGAAAATAAAATGTTTTTTTTTTGTTTTTCGTCTTTTGTCTTGAGTTCTTGAGCTTTCAGATTTCACTAATCGATCAGATAAGATGAAAACATTTAACCTCAGAAGTCATAACTGATTTAATATGCTCATGAAAATCATTTAGAGATACATTTGAATCCTCCTCTAAAGTTAATCAGAGGATGAATGTGTTCATTTTGGACCCAGATAGTGACACCACTTATTTCTGTTGGTATTTATTATTGCCTTGCCTATATTTTTGTCCTGTGTGTTGAAACATGTTAGTGGAATACATGATGCATTTCTTTTGTTAGTCTCTCATCATAGTTTCCTCTGCATTATAACTCAACCTTGTCTGTCATTAACATAAGAGAAGTATAACCGGCTCTTTAACTAAAATGCAGAGAAGCGTGTTATGGACAGTGTAACCAATTATAAAACACAATAAGCTTCAACTACATATAATATTGTATGAATTCTGTGCATTTTGTTTCTGAGTAAACTCTGGTCTTGGATGTTTTGTTTATTTCTTGTAGATGTCTTGGCTGATAATGGTCGTCTCACTCTGACTGGTGACGTTATCTCTGCGTTTGAGAAAATGATGAGTGCACACCGTGGAGAGGTCATCTGCTCCGTCACCACTGCTCAGGTAGGAAATGTGTTGGTTCTACAGAGACCTAGTAACTTTATTAATCACTGGTACTCTTAGTGTTGAACATGTGGTCTTTGATAAATGATACCATAACCCATTTTTGTTTCAGCCTTTGGATAAATCTAGTCTTGCTGAACTGAAAGTGGCCCTCAATGGCTTTCTTCAGAAGGGGGAAAGTATCAAGCTGGAAACCAAGGTACAGTTTTTTGTTGTTGTTATTGTTAAACATGCATTAAAGCAATTAGCCGGGGTGGGAAAATATATCGGGCTGCATCAATATTTTTGAGTTGTCTGTGATTTTTAACTCATTTTCCATTTACAGTCAGATCCTTCGATCCTGGGAGGCATGATTGTCAGCATTGGAGACAAATATGTGGACATGTCCACTAAGACAAAGGTCCAGAAACTGACCCAGCTCATCAGGGACACTTAAGTCCTGTGGACTTAATTTTGCAAACCCAAACATAAATATTGCTACTTGTCCTAGCACTGCGGTTACTCCTTAAATCCAGTGTTTGTGCTTAAATTCTTATAGATGTTAATAAAAACTACAAAAATCTGACTTTTGTCTTTGCCCTACTTGGATGGACAGAACCTTGCGAAAGTATTCACCTCGGCTCGGACTTGAAATTTGTTAGAATCACAAGTGTTAAGGTATTCTATTCTGATTTTATGTGACGGAAATATGCAAAACAATACTTGAATATGAGAGTTTGCTAATGGAAATCTGAAAATGGTCTGGCATATTTAATCAATGTCTCTTTAGTCTGAAACACAAATGTAATAGATCAGATAGATCAGTAGATACATCCATGTGTAATAAAAATCTAGATGTGAATGCAACTTTTCTGTGAACAGGTCGGGGGTAAAGTGACGTTTAAATCACAGTTGAGGAATTAAACAGTTTCTCCAAGGTTTTAATATGGCACTGTTCAACCCAAAGATGGCTGCCTATCTAAATTGTCATCTAATCAGAGAGGCAAACTCGGGGCCTTTGTAACTCTGGAGGAGCTGTCTTTAGTGAGAGTATGAACACAAACATCTATTAGTTGTGCATTCCACAAATTTGGCTTTTAGAGAGCAATATCAAGGAGGGGATAAAAGTCTTGCTTGGGCAAGGGGCACATCACCCTGAACACACCGTCCCCATTGTAAAACGTGGTGGCAACGTCATGCTGTGGGGTTGCTGGAGCAACAATAGAAAAGCTGATCAGACTAAAATGAAAGATGGACTGAGCTAAATGTAGGATAATCTTGAAATATGGTCGATTAGAGTTTTCAAAAGACTAAATGACTCGGAAGAGGTTCACCTTCCAGAGCTATCAGTCGGGACCTTTATCAAATTTTTGTTCACAGATGCGTATCATAAACTTGACCTAATTTGAAAGAAACATAGCCAAAAATTTCTGTATTTACATGTTCAAATCTAGATTATATACAAACATGTTGGAAACATGTTTATATTAAGACTGTTGAAGCAGCCAATAAACAGTAATTTATTGCAAATGTATTGTTTAAATTTGCATTAAAACACACCTAACTTTTTGTTAATATGATGAAATATGAAAATAGTCATGAGGTTGATATCAGTATTTAGACAAAAGCTTCAGAGTATCTAATAGTGATGTAGCTGCTTTGCAACAGTCAGAAAGGTCTTAGTTATATTTGATCTGAGCCTCGCTACGTCACTCTGATCCCCTCTACGTCTTGTAGACCCGCCTTTGCGCATGCGTGCTCGGTTAATGCTGTTTTATTAATTTTTTTTTTTTCGGGTCAAAAATGGCTGCCGGTCCCATCTAACCCTCCTCAGCAAGGATTAACCAGGCCATAAATAAACTGCGAAGAGCGGCGTTGTTTCCGGACGGAGCTCTGGTCAGAGCACCGGGGGCGTAGGGTGCGCAGCGCCCGAACAAAGATGATGCTGCTGCTTCCAGAGGGGACAAACCTTTACGAGACAGAATTAACCCGTTCCAACACAACACCCAACAATAAATGAGGTACGAGCTGATCCGTTTATGTGTTATTAGTGGCTAAGCTTTGATTTCAGTGATTATTTGACTTGGAGAAAGTTATAGTTTTAGAAACTCTGGCTTTGCTTTTTGTTTTTCATCCTTAATGTTCTGTGTTGCAACCTGAAAAAAAAAAGGCCCGTGTGCTTCATCAAAGTAAGCTGCTTCAGCTTGTACTTGCCAGTGTACACATGTTCTCCTCATTATTTCTACTTCTCTTCACCCCGACAGAAAAATGATGCACAGATTGAGCAGCAGCACCAGTGACTTCTGTATCAGTGGGCTGGCAGAGGACTGCCACCCAGCCAGCCACTTTGATTTATGCAGCACCCACTCCAACAAGTTTTATGCCTCTCCGTCAAACCCTGGTTTGCAGCTGTCCCTCGCCAGTCTTACCCCCTTGCCGCAGGGAATACACAAAGCCATGACATGCCAGCTCCAGGAGAACCAAGGTGACTTCCAACCACAGGCGGCAAGAATCGGGGTCGGCGAGGCCCTGGCGCCTGATGGCCCCAAGAAAAAGAAAGGTACAGTTAAATCAGGGAGGAGAGGGAGGCCTTCGGGGACTACAAAGTTGGCTGGGTACCGCACAAGTACCGGACGCCCACTTGGGACGACCAGAGCGGCCGGATTCAAAACCAGCCCAGGGAGACCCCTGGGGACCACCAAGGCAGCGGGATATAAAGTCAGCCCAGGCAGGCCGCCCGGCAGCATCAAGAGTCTAGCTCGTCTCAAAAAGCTGGAGTTTGGCTGTGATGCTGCAAAAACACTTGACTTGAGCAACTGCAGCATTCCCAAGAAACTGGACTTCCCTGGCAGTGATGTTCCGCCTTTTCCGTACGCCATCATGGAAAGTAGAGATCTCTGTGACGCCAGCAGCAAAGTGGATGAACCCAGGGAATAGCTCAACAAACGTCTCTGTTATTTGGTTGCATGAGCATGCGTCAGAAAACTTTTTTTTTAAATAAACTGTATCACCTATCAGTCACATATAATAAGTGAATTAAAGTGTAATTACAGATGCACTAATTCATACATGCATGCATGCAAAAAAAATAAAAATAAGAAAAAGCAAAAAAAGTCATAAGTAGCAATTCAAACTTTATGTCAGAGTTGTTTGTTCCCTCAGTCTGGGCCAGCTCAAGGTATAAGTCTAAATTGAATCTTCTTAGGCACCCAAATTAAATTTACACAACATGGTGACCATGTTAAATTCTTAAAAAGAAGGAAAAAAAAATTACGTTTTTCTTTTCTTTTTTTCTTTTTTCAAACAAATTAATGTTCGTTCACTAGTCGACTGAAATACAAGCTAGTTGAAGGCAGAAGGTAAAATTGTCCAAGCAGCCAATCATGGACATTATGATGAATTGAAGGTGGGCCCCCAAATGAAACTCTGCTTCAGGCCTCATGAATCCTTGAGCCGGCCCTGGCTCCAGAACATTTTTTTTTTTTTTTATGGCTTGTGTTTTTGTTCTAGTTTTACTTTCTGAAACAGATCAACCAGCTCACTTCTTTGACAGAAAATGTTTTCAAACTAGTCTATACTTGTACAGTATGTGTTTTATTTTTGTTTTATAACCCAGCACCAAAGCTAAGCAGTTACCAGTTTCAGTTTTGACTGATTCAGATTTTCTTGCTGAAGACACATTAACGAGGACAAAAAATGGCTCCAGGTTGTTTTATAAACAGATTGTCACCGTTTAAGTATAAAAGCATTTGTCCCTAAATTTGTGTGATTTCTGTTGAGGCTAAATAGTGCATACATACAGTTTCATACATTTAGGGGCTGAAAATGGTGGGAGTTATTAGTCTTGGTTCTACAACAACAGAAAAGAAAATTACCATCTGTGGCGAATTGATTGGTGCATCTCTTCAAACAATTTGTGTTTAAATTTTTAATGAGCTTCAACTGCTATAACTTACTAATTTTTGAGCACAGTATATGTTCTTTCTGCACTTTGTAAATATAGATGTCTTTCCTATTTGTTATTGGACTTATCATAAGCACTTCCATTTTTATGTAGTTATTCTTGTCACTATTGAAAATCAGAAATATGCATTGTGGATTATATAATAAATCCTAATGTGCTGTATGTGAAACCATAATAAAAATCTTTTCAAGTATGTGGCTCCAGCTCGGTTCACCCCTTTGCCAATTTGCAGTGCCTTTTTGAACCTATTTATTAGAATTTCAACCACTCTGACTACCATATAGTACTCATCAGTAGTTGGCTCTGTTACCTTGCAGCTTTGCAGGGTGTCCATGTGCATGTATAGCCTTTCTCTCCATTCCTTCTACAGCCCAAAAACATGCAAGTTAGGTTTATTCTGCTATTGAAACAATCTCATACACAGTTGTTTTGTTTTTTAAATCCTTAAGGGAATGAAGATTTATTATCTGACCTAAATTTAAAGTCCTGCTACAGCAATATACTTCAACTCATAAAATTCTAGTATGGATTTTATTTATTTTTGGCTCCAAGGACATAAAAAGCCCCTTCTAACCACCCATTACAAAATATTCAATGCTCCTATGTAGCCACTAGGGGGCTTTCGCCATGTTGATAATAACTATTACTTTGTAATAAATCCTTATATTTACAGTTAGTCAAGTTAAATCACGGATGTGATTATGACACTATTATACAGCGTTTTACAGGGATGTATAAAGGAGGAGCTGGTTCATAATAAAACTGGGCCATGTTGTTATGTAAATCGTGTTTAAATTGATAGATATTACCCCCGGATATTTCCAGAAACATTTCGGACTTTTAAATAGGGTAAGATATAAAAATGCGTGGATAAGCTGCATGAAGCAATCACGGGGTTTTTGTGTGATCCTTAAAGAGGACTCGAGCCTACTGTGCGCTCTTTTTACATATACTTGCGCTTTTGAATCTGTTTATAATTTCAGTCTGCGTAACAGGACATGCTTGTGTGATCTCGTTAAGAGATAAATCGCTGTTTAAAAGCAAACAGAAAACAATAACTTTTCACGGCGCAGCGGCTCTCGCCGCTTGTCTTTATCTTTTATTTTCCTTTGCGCCTGCCTGTCGGCCTGCTTCCTCCTGCCAGTCCTCTGTGTGGGAAGACAACATGGCGCACAGAGTGAGGTCTGACCGGGGAGGCCGTGTGTTAGGCTCTGAAAGTGGCATGGAAACCGTTCTGCTCGGTCACAAAACAACACACCCAGAGTCTGCTTTCAAAAACACCGAGGCACCTCATTCTTTTGTGAACTCCTCAGAGTTTATCACTGCTACTTTATAGTTTTAGTAACTTCACCTGGACGTCCTAACGCGCGCGCTTGCGCTTTCGCCCGTATTTACATGAGTGTGTGCGGTAGTGAGCGAGTGTCACGGCCCTCTGCGGAGACGGGGGGTTGGGTAGCTGGGTAGCCGATTGGCTGCTGCTCACCAACACAGTCAGCCTGGGCTTGTTTTAACATAACCGGGGGCACTTCGACTAGCACGAAGATAAAATATGTAGTAAATAATCTGCTGTGGCAGAGGGAGACACCGGTCGTGGCTCTCAAGGGGTAGCAGCAGATTTAATCTTGTTCTTCACTGTAAAGCTGACAGTTTCTAAGAGGAGGGCCGTCGCTGCTGCCGTCGCCGCTGCTGCTGATGAGGCGATGAAGTGCCGAGAATGAGAGCTGTGCCTGGGCCTACTACTACTATCAGAGCTGCTGCAGCTGGGATTGTGCAGGCAAAGCCGAGGAAAGCAGTCGCTTTGTGTCACTCCAACAAAGATCCGCTGTTGGTTTGACGGTGACCGACCTCCAAATGGTGGGTTTTTCGCCCTTTTTTCCACGTGTTGACAATGTGTGAGTTAATAGTAGCTTCCTATGATCGGTCGTAGCTTGTTTGTGTGAGCCGCTCTTGTGTGTGTGTGTTTTTTTTTTTCTGTGATGGCTCAGTGTCACCATCTTCACTACAGTCTCGGTGATCGCCATGACCCACAATTAGCAGACAAAGCGGCGCTATTTTTCTAATAACTCGCAAACAGAAACGTTTAGACGGAGCTCACCGGTGGACGTGTTTAGGGTTTTGTCTTGAGCTGGCCTTTTACAATGGAGGCCATGCTATCATGGTGTGTGTGCGCACAGTTTTCGCTTTATAAGTTTCTTTGCAGGCTGGATAGCCTGTTGTTTTGCTCGGATTTATGTTTGTTGTGGTAGAATTAAACGTCACACCTCCCTTACCTAACAGTGTCTGTTTCTGCTTAACAGGATATAAGGATGACAACATGAATCAGTCATACAGACCGGGTCCTAGGGTCGAATCAGTGTTTGGCCCCAGCCAGCCAGATCTGAGGGCCCGAAACGGCCCTCTGAGCACTTCTTATAGGAGCCAATGTGGCACTGTGACTCGTGGACCAGGCCAGCTGCCACAGTCTGCTTTCCTGGGATACAATCAGCTGGAGCGTTTTCGCTGCTACAGTCCACAGAGGAGACAACAGCGCCTGAATGCTGACCCCCAGGACAGGAGCAGCTTGCGCTGTGCAAGTCCAATCACTGATGATGACGATGACGAGTTTCAGCCACCAGCAGTCCAACTGCCTCCATCCCCTGGCACTGACAACATGGAGCCATTCGAGACTCTGCATGCAGGTTACAGCCCGCAGAGGAGACCGCAGCGCATGAACGCCTCACTCAACAGCAAAGACTTTCACCCCAGGAGCAACTTGCACTGTGCAAGTTCGATCACTGATGAAGATGAGGGGTTTGAGCCACCGCCCATCCAGCTACCTTCATCCCCTGGCACAGATGACATGGACCCCTTTGAAAGCCTGCAGAACGGGAGCAGGAACGGCTTCTCCCCTCGCAGTCCAGACAGCTTCGAGCGCATCCCCGACGCTCCCATCGCGTTTTGGGAGCATCGGGGCTTGCATTTTGGGTCCATGCTGTTTGACAGCAGTGACATCAAGGAGGAGGAGGAGGGGCACGGCGGCGTTCAGGACCTCAAGCCTTTTCAGCTCCCCTCAAACACGACCCAGGACAGAAGCGTCACTGGGAGCAAAAGCACATGCAACTCAGTGACAGAGAGACGAGCATACAAACCCACAGTTTTTAATCTGATGTCCAAAACAATTTCTGAACTTAACCCCACACTAAGCCCCAGTGCACTGCCAGAAATCACTATGAGAGACGGGTGGAATGTGGGCGAGGAGTCGGACAGTGAAGTCGAACTCACCTCTCCTGTTGACCCTGGGCTTGTCTCACCAGCTGGTACCAACTCTAACGTGAGTTGGACACATGTGGGGAATTTGTTTTGCATTGTTTGTGCAACCAAATGGACATTTGTTTGTGTTGGCTATGTATTAGAGTGGAGAAATCTCATCCACGAGGGGAAGACTCTGTTAAAAGTAGCACTTGAAATATATCTTATAGTGACGCACCAATCAGTCAGCCAAAGATAAGAATCTACTCTGATTAGGTAATAAATACAGAACAATATGAAGTATTTCCCCTGTTCCTCAAATAAAGCAAAACCATTTTTAACTTAGTAAAACTCAGATGTAGTTCAGTGGCATATGCTTTAATGTAAAAATGAGAATAGTCCTATTATTTCTTTGTTTTCTAATGGAGTCAGAAGCTATCTAAGATCACTGCATTCCTTTCTCTCTTGTAGTGTCTAGAAACTTAATCTTAATCGCTCAAAATTAGAATCTAGGTCTTCAAAGAAAATCACCAGTTGTTTTTCACCAGAAAGAAACTGGATATTTTTTTTTCAAATTGGGGTAAAAATATATGCTGAAATATACACTTTTAGATGAAACGTATCTTGATGAAATCTAACACTGAAAGAGTAGCAACATGTGCTTTCCCATAGCGCTCTGTCACTGTTTTGATTTGATTTGAAACAAGACGACCTGTCATTTTAGCCTTTGTCTCACATCAAATTGTTTTCCTTGTGCTGATTTTAGTCCAACAGCCCGAAGAAAAAACTTCTCCCTGTTGTGAAGTACTTGGAAGGAGACCTGGTGTGGGCAAAATTCAACAGACGACCTTGGTGGCCCTGCCAGGTCCTCTGTGACCCAAACCTAGGGATCCACACAAAAATGAAAGGTGAGTTCTGATTACTTTTCTGTATTTTTATGTTCTGTGGACAGATATGCTGTTAAGATAAAATGTAACTACTTAATAACCATCAATTCTTATATAATAATATAATAGAGGATCTGAAGATTAAATCTGAAAAGCATGACAAAGATAACTTATTTTAAACAAAATTGGTTATAGCTGCTGTTGGTACTCCCTTTTTACCACATTTATCCTTCCAGTTAACTTTTTATTAATATGTTTGTATACAGAAATAACCTTTTGAGGCTTACCTTCCTTTGAGTGTATGTCTTTTGAACAACAGTCTTCTCTGTGATTGTGTTGTAAACACATGATCATATTTCTGCAGTAAAAGTATATATTTATACTGGTGTAGTATGGTGTAGTATATATATAATACTACACCATTATATATATATATATATATATATATATATATATATATATATATATATATATAAATATATAAGAAACTTAATATGGAGTTCTTATTAGCTGCAAAACTTTATTGTAAAGATTAAAAGGAACAAATTTAGCACTGTTGGTAGTAATCGAAATAATGAAGAAATTTCACTTTTTTTTCACAAAAATAAAATATGATTTTCAGATTTAATGATGTGCGGCTTTAGCCGTCTCTGTGAAACATTTGATCTCACTGGCTAACTGGCACTAAATAAATTTTATTGTCTGTGTGTAACGCAACTAATCTGCTTTTCATTTGTCTCACTCTCTCTTTTTGTTTCTTACCCCTTCAGTACCAAGTAATCGTCCTTGTCGGATGTATTTCCTGGAGACGGTGGGCGAGGTCACTGAACGCACCTGGGTCCCAGGGAGCGTCATTCTACCATTTGAAGGGGGACATCAGTTCGATGAGCTGCCTGTTCTTAGACGGCGGGGAAAGCAGAAAGAGAAGGACTACAAGTATACGGTAAATAAATACATCGACAGTCACGGTCAAAAGAAAGTACAGCATCTTTGAATTGTAGAATTTTACCTATCAGGACCTTTAAAAAATAATCTGATCTTTACATACAGGTTCCACAGAGTAATTATTTATTGAACAAATAATGTGTGCACTGTCCACAGTGACTAAATCTGTAAATGAACTGAACAAGTGCTTTTCCAGTCATTTTGACCACTGAAAGTGCTTTACACTAGAGTCACATTCACCCATTTGCACTCAAACACATTTATACACCAATAAGTAGAGCGGTAGGAGGCAATTTGGGTTTAAGTGCATGTTCCAGAAGGAGGCTGGAATCGAACCTACAACCTTCTGATCGCAAGACGACTTCTCTAACACGCAGACACAGTCTGTCTCTGCTACAGGCCCACATGGGGAGGAACACAGACTTTAGAGCCTGTCTACCAGGACAGAGGGAACGTTAGAACGTACAGAGCTTTTCAAAAGTGTTAATAGCTCTTTTTCATATTTGTTAAGTTACAGCCACAAATTCCAACATATATGATTTGAATATTAAGCGAGCAGCACAGTAAACTCATGGCTGTGAAGTGGAAGGAGGAGAAGGATCCACTGCAGCTGCAAGTCTTCTGTGATCGATCTCTACCAGCTTGGCGCATATAGAGACAGACATTTCTGACCGTTTTCTGCAAAATAGATCAATCAATTTTAGTCCAATCGAAAAGAAAGCATCAAATCTCACCTCAGAATCTCAATTAAGCTGGACTTTGGGTCATTCTAACACCTGAATATGCTTTGATCTGACTATTGCAACATTGCTCTTGTTCAGGTTTGTTGTCCTGCTGATAGTTGAACCCACTCTCTAGTCTTTTGCAATGTCCAATAGGTTCTCATCCAGGTTTCCCCTGTTTCTAACTTCATCCATCTGCCATCAACTCTGACCAGTTTGTTTGTACCTACTGAAAAAAATACATAATCACAGTATGATCACCATGTTTCACATTAGGGAGGGCTGATGTGCAGTGTTAATTTTCAACCACTGCGTATTATATGACTTCCAAAATGATAAAAAAATGACACTTTTAGACCAGCTACTTAATAGTAGTGGCCCAAATTGTTGCACTGGTTTCAGCAGCAGCTACTCCTCCCTCCTCTCACTAGTGATGTTCGATACCATCAATTTTCTTTCCGATCCAATATTTAGTAAAATTCAAGCTGGTATCGGTGATACCGAACCAATACCGATACTTTGTGCAAAAATACCTAACCTGTCTAGTAAATCTAAAAAAAGTGTATTAATTATTTGCTTTGCTTCTTAAAGAACACAAGGCATCACTGTAATTTATTTATTTTAAATTCCGAACTACATTGATAGGAGCCTTGTTTATTATAGACAAGCTATTCTAATCATACAACATATGTGAAAATGAAAAAAAGGACAGTTAGAAAAGTAATAAATCTACTAAAATAAATCCCTGTTTAATTAAGAACTACTATAAAATGAAAGCATGCACCCCAATTGACATGACCACGACATGTTAATTTGAAAATCCTGGAGATGTGAATGAAACGGCAACAAAGACATCCATCTTTGAAACTTTCCCATTCATATGTTTTTGTTTAAGAGCAGAGGCATTGTTACAGTTTTCTCTTTCAGTCTGTTTTTTTTTTTTTTTTTGCTCAGAATTTCTCCTGCTTTCGAAATTACTTTCTCTGCTGACTTATTTTACGATCCGCCATTGTGTCTGAGTGAGTGAGCGAGCATTATGTCTGTACACAGCAAGTGTCAAGTATTTTTCTTAGTATCAAGTTGGAACTTCTCAGGGGTTTTTTGGGTGCTTTCTTTCACCAACACTATATATTTCACACAACCATTACTAACTCTGCTTTCTGATCTCAACTTGACTGGAGGAGAAAACGGACTGTAAAAGGCTCTATCAAATGTTATTTTTTTTTTATGGTCAAAACATTTGAGATTATTGATTGATCATATAATCAGTCAGTCTGAAGCAGTCTTTCTGCACTGAAAACAGAAAACATGTCTGTCATGCATCAGTCACTATTTTTGATGGACATCTGTCCTGGTGCATATTATGACAGCTCTATATGTTTAGCAAAGTATTAACACAACCGATGCTGATGGTGCAACCATTTTCTTTTAGAGAAAAAACTTTCTCCTGGCAGCCTTTCCAAACAAACCACATTTATTCAGTCTTTTTTTTTTATATAATTTTACTTTTATTAACTGTAACATTTATCATTCTCATGCTTGAAAAAAGCTTGAGATTCAATTTGTCTGAGCCCTTTGTGGTCTGAAATTGATGGAACATCCTTTTCTGAAAAGACTGGAAAATGTCTCAAATTTTCCACCACTTGCTTGGCTTGCTTGGAAAAGACATAATAACTCTTAAATGATTGATTGCCAACAACAGTTGATTCTTTCACGTCATGGCTGATGTGTTTTCCTCTTGGCTTTGTGTAACCTACACCTGTATGCTCCAGGTGAGCAAATGGCCAAAGCTACCACTTTCATAGACTTGTGGTTCATAAGTAAATCAAGTTCATTTATAGGGCTGTATATATAAATCTATTCGGCGATATATATCGATATTTTCCGCCCTCGGAAAGTATCGATTTTTCATCCGCGAGTATCGATCCGTTAAACCATAAGGGTCCACAGCCTTATAGCTCTTTTTAACGTCTAGCTTGTTACGGCGTAGCAGCAAGACTCCGCCTCCCTCAGTCTCACTTTCAACTTCAGCTTAAAGTGCACATTATAAACTACACACCAGTTTTTAAATTGTGTAAATAGGCCAAGTATAACCGGAGTTATGCTAAAATTTGTGAACCATATTTTTCCCAAATGTCAGAGAAATGTCAAAAGCGCCGCCATTCCCCGGCTTTTCCGAATATGTGAGAGGGAATGAGCTTCCAAACGTACAAAACGAAACGAAACATTAGATTCCTGTGTTTTTGGAAATGTAAAATCTTCAATAAATAACGATGGGCTGTATTTTGTTGCTGAGTATTTTGTTACGGTTACTTGCGTAAAGTTACGCAAGTAACCGTGAAAGAGAAGCGGAAAGGAGTAGCGGCGCGAACGGAGCAGCTGCAAAACCAGTGAGATCGCGAAATTAATGCAAATTTTAACTGGTGGCATTCACTTCGTAACTAGTTTTTAGCTTAGCGGTTTCTGTTCTGTATATAAAGGATTACCTGAAGAATGAACATGGGTTGATAACATCCGAAGCGGCGCTGTGTTTTGAGCAGGAAGACGAAGAGGAAAAACCCCCAGCCGGAATCCGCGGCGCAGTGAGGATTTCCATGATAACAATGGCTGATCGATCATTCTTATTAGCAACAGACAAAGAGTATCAGAGACTGAGAGTACTATGAGATGCTGGCAGTCTGAGAGGCAGCTACTCAGAGATCCAAGCAGGGGAATAGCGGCGCTGCGTAGCTGCAGGGAGTCGATCACTACGGGGTGAGGCGGAGCCACTACTTTATCAGACGAAAGCAGTTTACAGCCATGGTTAACTCCGGGAGTCAAGGTAGAAAAGCCTTTTTTCCCCATAGTCCAAAAGACTGCATTTGTGGCTGCATTTTTACTCCAAAATGCAGCCACAGTGTCCAAAAGAAAAAACATAAGTGCAATCATTTGCATATTGAGAGTCTACAGATGCTGATAATCTCCACACTCTGCTCCTGGATTACCGTTTAAACTTTTCAGTTTTATGTTAAATCCACATGAATTAAATGACAGAAACTAATTCTCTCACTGCGTTTTTGACTCATTTTGTCCAGCTGCAGACTGTTAGACTGCCCAATCAGAGTTAGGTATTGTGTAGTTGGTGCTTTTAATCAGTTTCAGTTAACTAAATTCAAGTCTATGGAACACAAAATGCCACTAAAATCACTCTGTCCTTCTAAAATCTTTCAGAAAATCGTAAAAATGCACTGAATCGTAGCGAATTGTATCGCTCAACAAATATCGTGATACATATCGTATCGTGACCAGAATATCATATATCGCATTGTATCGTGAAATTATTGTATTGCTACACCCCTATTCATTTAACTATCAAAACCTGGCTGCTACTTTCCGTCTTAAATCTGTTTTAAGCCGGAAGGGCTGTACTTAGTTTCTCAGACAGCACTTTTCCAGTTTTGGTTCACATTTGTTTAATGAACACAAATGTGCAATCTATTCTATGTGTTAGTACATATACAGTAAATTTAAATAACATTAAAAGCTGTTAAACCTCCTCCCCTTAATAAAATTGTCCCTGACTCCTGATATATGAAACTTCAGAATTCAAAGAACTGTGTTTCTTTTTCTCCACGACTGTACCTTTTATTCTCTTATTGTGAAAACTTATCTAAGCATAAATTCTGATGTGGGCAGATTCCAAAAAGTTTGCTGACCGCATGGAAGGTCAGTGTGGCCGAAGCCGAGTATCTGCTCCCTGGTCGACAGAGGAACAGTGAGAGCACACTTTCACTACCTGTCAATGGAGAAGAACATCCGACCAGCCTTCCTTCATCCGAAGAGCCGCTAGAGGCCCCCTCCGCCTCCATTGTCCCAAATCGACCCAACTCACCTGGTCCGGCGACCAACGGGAATGGTCACCATCTCTTCAAAAACTCCACAGCACACGGCAATAAGAGCAAAACTTTCAAAAAGAAGAAGAAATGCTTGTCGGACATATTTGGTCATATTGTTGGTGGAAAGGAAACAGCCAACAAGGCTGGTCAGCTTCATGCAACAACACGTGCACTGAAAGAGGAGCCGAAGGACTCGCCTTATGCCGATTTGGACTCAGTTCCGATGTTGAATCGACCTAAACGCACAGCTCTTTCTCCAATATATGATGCCGACGCCACGGGCAGAAAGGAGCACGCTTCAGTAAAAGTGAAAAAGACATCTAAAAAACTAAACCTTTGCTCGGACCTGCCTGATTCGTCCTGTATATTTCAAAACAAAGCGACCTCTAAAGACCCTGAGCAGAGGCCGGGCAAATTGCCCCAATGTTCCAGTGAAAAGCACTCTGGGGCTCTTTCTGCCAGCAGCCGTCTGATAACAAAGGCTCTGAAAGCAGCAGAAGAGACCAATCACAAAGATGGACCAGCCACAAGCCGAGTCCCAGCAGAAGCTCCTCCTGAAGACTGCTTCGGAAAAACTCCTACTGATGCTGCCGTCAAAGCTGAACTGTCTCCAAATCGGAAATACCCCAGCAAAACCTGCTCCTTTGGTAACCACAGCTCTCCGAAACGTCGCGCGAGGAAGCTGAATAAGAAACCAGTTCACAACGGCTCGGTGGTCGGGTCAAAGTGCGAGGGGATGACTCGGCCCGCGCAGCAGCCGGTCAAAATCAAGGCGGAAAACAGTCCGTCAGATCTATCTACCTCCTCCTCTCTGTCTCTGTCTCCAATGGACACCTTTCAGGATAGTAAAGAATTAAGGTTCAAATCGCTAGTGATGGAGAACAACAGTGACTCTGAGCTGAGTGTCTTTCGGCCTGACTCCAATTACAAATTTAGCACTATTCTGATGCTGTTAAAGGACATGCACGACACTCGAGAAAAAGAAGGCAAACCGCTGGTGCTGCCGCCGTCGGCTACCTTGATAAAGGAGGAACCCCTGGTGATCCCCACCGCAGCAGAAGGTGGTCCGCTGAGAGGCTCCTGCGAAGGTCTACCTCTTCAGATCAAATTAGAGAACGGGCAGTCGGAGAAACCTACGCTGAGCCAAAGCACGCCGGTGAAAACCAAACTCTGCACTAAAGCGGGCGCCTCGGTCGACACCCATCACTGTGAAGACTTTCCTTCTCACGCTGAGGTCGGGAGTGCGGAGAAGCAGCGCAGAAAACAAAGGCTTCCGTCTAAACTGAAGCTCACAACGCCTGACCTGCGTTTGGATGTTCCCGAGAGAGACTTCATCAGCATCCAGTCTGACTCGACAGAGCCTGTAGCGGACCCATTTGGCCCCGATTCCTCCACCAGCTACCTGGAGAAGTCCTCGGAAATAGCTGTGGCTCCAAAGAAGCGCTGGCAGCTGGTTGAGGAAGCTGCTGAGACCGAGGCAGCTGGGAGCGAGAGGTCCGCTGAGACTGAGGCACCTGCCGAGATGAAGGGTTCTCCGACAATGAGAGCTTCTCCAGATCTTGAGGCGCACACAGAGAATGACTCGCACTCTTCAGATGCAAGCAGCACAGCCGGTAAGACTTGAGCAAAGTGCTTTATAGGTTTTTTTTTTTTTTTTTACTGAGACGATACTTTTTGAAATATCAAAGTGTTTGTTTTTTTTTGCACACAGGACAATCTGAGAACAAACGTCTCCGGAAACCAACCAAGAGGCTCTTGGAGTCCACCGAGGAGTATGAACAAATATTTTCCACAAAAAAGAGGTCAAAGAAACACACGGCAGATTGTTCCAAACTGGTGAGGAAAGTTTTTGGGGTTGTGGTTTCCTACAGTACAGATAAAAAAACAAACAAAAAAAAGAAACAAAAGATTGGGGATTTTTCAATAAATAATTAGTTACAGCTATCAAAGAAAAGCCCAAAACCATAAGTAAATTATAAAACTGTACAAAACTTGTACATTTAAGTAGACGTATTTTACAATTTGTCCCATTATGATCACAAACTTCAGCATATTTTATTAGAGACACAGGTGACTGTGAAGTAGAATGAAAAGATTACATGGTTTTTAACTTTCTTTTTTTTTTAACAAATGAAAACTAAAATGTGAGTAGTGTATTTTATGTAGCCACTCTGGGTTTTGCACTTCATTTTATCTACGGTTATCAGAGTTAAAAGGGGCTTAATTCAGATTTTTAAATCAGAATTCGGCACTACTTTGTTTTGGTCTGTCACATAAAATCACAGCAAGTTTGCTGTTGTAAGGTGACTAAATGTGCCGAAGGTCTTAGATCTGTTTGTGGTGTTCCCAATACCTTTACTATCCACTTGTGTTTTGCGTCGTATGTTTCTGTGTGCAGGACACTTCAGGGATTACGGCACTCCATGATCTCAGTGCTACAGAAGCCATGGATACCTCAACGTCGTCTTTAGCGGAGCCAGGAGAGGCTCGGGTAAAGATGGATCCGAGTCCGTCTCAGGAAGAGTTTTCTCCTCCGGCACCACCTTTGTCTCCTGTCACAGCACCACCCCGCTTTGACGCAGACGCAGCAGAGGAAACGGATCTGTCTTTTGAGTGTGGTGAGTCTTACTCTCCACCTGTTCTCATCAGGTTTTCAACGCTCATCCACATGCAACTCGAGTTTTCTTAGATCTGTTTGTGGTGTTCCCATTTGAACTGGATATCAGGAGATTAGTAGAGCGGTGATAGAGATGAGCCTTCCCATATGATCACTATTGCTTTTTGAGCTCAAACCCACAACAATGGGGCCATTTTTATGTTTTTTTTTCCTCACTTTTTTTCAATTAACCTTCTAATTTAGAGGAAAAAAGTAAACAGTTAAAAAACAAAGCGATTATTGAGGAAATTTGATGTTATTGCCACCTACTGGCTTGATTTAGGTACTGCAGACCAAAACCTTGGGAGTTGTCCTTTTTCATCATATATGGTACTTAGAAACAATTCTGAAATTATTTATGTACTGGTCTCATGTTTTTACATCTCAAAAGTCCATTATTTTAACTGTATTTGCCATGTCGTCTGTCTTTGAATGTCAGTTTCTGCATGTGAATACTTGAGACTTACCTGAATCATTTTTAATGTCAGACTCGGGAGCATCTCTTCAAGAAAGAAAGAGGCCCAGAAAACTCTCACACAAGGCGATGGAGTGTACCATAGAAGAAGTGTCGGCAGGTTCCTCAAAGAAAAAGGTATGTCTACGAAATCTAAAACTACACTGCCTTGCAAAGGTATTCACACTCTGAGCTTCTTCTCTTGTCACTTTAACAACTGTAAACCTCAATGTATTTTACTGGGTTTTTACGCGAATGCTTAAAATTATTCTTATCGCCGGCAGATTTAGGTTTGAAGTGGAGAAAGATAAAGATTAGGGTGATGGCAAGGAGCCCTCAGTTGGCTTGGAGCTCATTGCAAACGATTGTCAAAATACCAGTGGAAGCACAAGAAGGATTTGGTTGCTTTAATCCCGATATATTGTTTTTTGATCATTGAGAAGGTTACACATTTTGATTAGGAGTTTTTATTATGTCTTCCTCCTTTTAAAGTGTTTTAGTATCTTCCCAATCAGACAAAAACTTCTCATTTGCAGAAAAATTATGAATAATTTTGGGCCTAACCGTAAATTAGATGGTTCTACAAATTACTGAATCATTAGAGCTGAATACAAATGCAAACATTTTTTTTCTTGTTCATTTTTAAAATATCTTTTGATACCTGTGTATCATTTTTCTTCCATTTACAAAAAATTGCACAATTATATGGCGTTTTTTTTTTTTTTTATTATCATAAAATCTTAATAAAATACATTGAGATTTACTGTAACTTCACAAAACTGTAGTGAGGACGGCTCTGTACTCCTGGACCCTGAATATTTATATTTTGTTATAGGAATCTAAGCGGAAACTCGGCATTTCCCCAGACGCAAAAGTGTTGGTCAAGAAAACACAGGTATTCATGAAATCACCAAACATTTACTGTAATGTGCTGAAGTTCTGTTTAGTTACTCTAATCCTTGTGTTTTGCGGGATAGGCTGCATCCGTGACGAAAGACAAATCTTCCCCCTGCGCATCGTCCGTCCCTGCTGAAGCCGCCAAGCGTCCAGAGAGCAGGTCCCCGAGCCCTCAGCGGTGTAAGACCCCGAAGCAGGAGGCTGAGACGGAGCCCTGCAGCACCGAGGAGAAACAGGAGGAACACACTGGAACACTAACTCCTAAACCTGAGGTGCCCCTGCTGTGTTTTCTCCAGGCAAAATGTAGAATCAAATTTAAGTTTCCATCTGTTCTGACTGCTTCAGTAACATTAGACGATATTCATCTCCTTTAGGTCATGACGGCGGGTTTGAATGACAGTCTCTCGTCCCAGGGTGATGTTAAGGGAAAAATAGGAGCCGCGTCTTTGAAGGAGAGCGTCTGCCAGGTGAAATGACCTTCACGCTGACTGTGACGTGATTATTTTCACCTTCTGCGTTAGTGGCAGGTATATTATCAGTGTGCCTCTTGTGTGCGTGTGTGTTTTTACAGGTGTGTGAGAAGACAGGAGACCTTCTGGTGTGCGACGGTCCGTGTTTCGGTGCCTTTCACCTGCAGTGCATCGGCCTCTCTGTGGCCCCCAAAGGAAAATTCCTCTGTCAGGAATGTAAAACCGGTGGGTCTCGCTTTGCGACTCACAAAGGACCTAAAAACCCCGCGACCGACCGCGAGCGGTTTGTCCTGAAGCACGACAAGTCTTCAGATTCTCATCGACTTCGTTTTGTTTCAGGTGTTCATAACTGCTTTGTGTGTAAGAAGTCTGATAACGGAGTGAAGCGCTGCATCATCCCCCTTTGTGGGAAGTTTTACCACTCGGACTGCATCATGGCGTATTCGCCCACCCAGCCACATAACAAGGGCTTCCGCTGCCCTCTGCATGTCTGCCTGTCATGCCACATCACCAACCCTCTCAACGCCTGCAGCACCAAAGGTAGAACCCCCCCCCCCAGGTCATTTCAATCAAACCGCATCTGTAGAGGAGCAACATGGTTAGCACGCTGAACACTGAAGCACATGGTTGGCTGGCTGCCTTCACTCAGATAAGATAGAAGCTCTTATTTTTGGCAGCAACATCACATTTGAAAAATGGTCAGGTTTTACAGTTAAGATAGTAAATTAGTTGTATTTTAGATAAGTTTCTTAACAGTAAAGAGTTGGCTCCAGACATCTGAACTAGAATAAATCAAATATTTAAGTTCCTCGCTTGGAAAGTGTTGAAACTGCACAACTTGTGAAGTGGCCCTTTGACTCTGCTGCCACCTCCTGGTAAACCAACCAATTGCAGGTTTTACATGCTAATTATAGACATCTCTAAATAAAGTTATAGTCTAAATCAGAAAACACATTTGTTTAACCAATTTGAGTAGTAAACTGAGCTTGACCAGATTGTTTCATGAATAATATCAATTAATGACTTTGAATCTGTCTGCGTGACTGGATTGAATTGTCATGTGTTGTGAATCGTTGCTTTGAAAATAAGGTTGAGTTAAATTCAATAATTAACGTTGGATAAGGGTAGAGATTGCATAATCTTCAAGGTCTTAAATGCATAGTTTTAAAATTCTGCTCATTTTTAAATAAAGTCCTAAAGTATTTGATAACTTTTCTTCCTTACCAATAATCACCTTGAGCAAGTTCTAGTATTTTTACTTTTCTTCTTACAAATTTAAAACCCTTTGGTGGAAAAATAAGAGCATAGATAGAGTTCTACAGTGTTTTCAGCATTTTTACATAATTGTGATTTGTTAAAAATATACATATTTTTTTCCGTGTCTAAACGTCTGTGGTTCTTTTTTAGTTGCTTACTCAGTATTTGGTGCTGTTATGTCACTCAGTTTCCCAACAATTTAATGTTTCTGTTAAATAGTAAATTCATTTAAAGCATTTAATCCCATGCAACAGTGTCAGCTGTGTTAAACTTGAACTTGGGCTACAGTTCTGTGCGTGGATGAAGCCGTTCTGTGTGTTTCGTTTCTCAGGTCGGCTGGCTCGATGCGTCCGCTGTCCCGTAGCTTATCACCCCAACGACAACTGCATGGCAGCAGGCAGCCTAGTGTTGTCCAACAACAGCTTCCTGTGTCCCAACCACTTCACTCCTCGCAAAGGCTGCAAGAACCACGAACACATAAACGTTAGCTGGTGCTTTGTCTGCTCCGAAGGTCAGTCTGGGTTCAGGTCTCAATTTTTAGCTTCCGGTGATGGTAAAAAGAAACTACAAACTCAGTTGTAGGGTTTCATGCGTAACCGGGTCGTAAATTTAGACAAAATCTCACCTCGAGTCTACAAAAAGCCAACAGATTTCTCACTTTCAAATACAAATGAAGTCAAATTTAAAATAAACCCTTGTTGCCTGCATTTAAGAGAGAAAGTAGCTGATTTAGTAGCTGTACTATTTTAGGGGGGTTTATACTGATCATTCAACAAATCTTACTGGCTCAGGAAATATTTTAGACCTACTTCCAGGGGCGGATCTACTGGGGTGGCAATTGCCACCCCAAATGAGAGCCTTGCCACCCTTGTTGCCACCCCAGCTAGCGACAATGAATTCAATAAATAGTTATGGCAAATCGGACATTAAGCTCATGAAATTCTTTTTTTTCCGACAACATTGAATGCAACACAATGTAACCTGACACCCACTGCTAAGTAGCGGAAAGTGCGAGAGAAGGACAGAGCGCCAGCAGCATTGATATATATTACTGGACTGGACATTACGTGATTTATCGTAAGTCGCACATGCGCCATTGCTGTCCATTGAGTCAGGAATATCTGTGGTCAGGAAAATACTACAATCACGCAAAGAATCAGAACAACGGGAGCAAAGTTTAGCAGTTAATTCAACCATAGATAATGGTAATAAGGGCTTCAGATTTCACAGGTGAGGAAAAATTGAACAAGTGAGCAGTGGGTCAGTTATACTAGCCTAACTGTTAGCCTGCAATGGACTTTGATAACCTTAGCATGTGCTGCGCAGTTCGGTGTGTTTTGGTTAAGTTAGCACTAAACAACCCGCCCACCAAGTCATCAGTAGAGCAGCTGTTTAAATCAGCTAATCAACCACCGCGGTGATCAGGCGAAAACTTATTAATAATCACAATATAGACATTAAGCCTGACAACATAATGTAACAGACTGGATGTAATGTTTTAGTGTTTTTGCTACGTTTTTGTGTGGGAAATGTTTGTTTTTTGGTATATATATATATACCAAATACAGGACCCCTGAAAATATCCCTGCCCCCCTCTTGCCACCCCATAAATATTTTTCTAGATCCGCCCCTGCCTACTTCGATAAGTGATGATTTAAAGTGATTTTCTATTTTATACTTATAGTCTTCCATAAGAAAAATGCTATGTGCCCAGCAGGATGTCAATTGCAGTGACTGTGGTGTGATTATGTATCATAGTCTGTTTTATTTCGTAAGAATAAGTCGACCAGAAAAGGCATCACAACCAGTATTAACAGATCATCAACAAGCAGAGGTTTTGACAGCTTTCTGCTCTGGATAGTGCAATGCTTTGTTGTTTTGTAAGTTTGCAGAGTTTCATCTAAATCAGCTGCAGATCTTCTGGAGAAATGTTCTTTGAACAGATGAGGATAAAATATATATGACTGGGCGTAAAGCAAAGTGATATTTTCAGACAAAACTCAGCACATCAGAACAAACAGCTGGCCAGAGGGCCAGAGGGCCGATGATTGATGTAGCATCCACAGGACTTGGACGGCATCTCCTCTTTATACTAAAGAACTCGTATTTTCCCGACTGTACAGGGGGCAGTCTGCTGTGCTGTGAATCCTGTCCTGCTGCTTTCCATCGGGAATGTTTGAATATAGAGATGCCTCAGGGTAGCTGGTTCTGCAACGACTGCAAAGCCGGAAAGAAACCTCGCATGAAGGACATCCTTTGGGTCAAATGGGGGCGATACAGGTAAGGGCGCAACATTTCTTCACCACACAACAGCTCAACGCAACAGGAAAGGTATCTGAAACCCGGCCCGATGCTTCAGGTGGTGGCCCGCTGAAGTGTGTCTGACCAAAGACGTCCCAAACAACATCTTGAGGATGAAACATGAAGTGGGGGAGTTCCCGGTGCAGTTCTTTGGCTCCAAAGATTTCGTGTGGACGTACCAAGCCAGAGTCTTCCCCTACATGGAGGGTGACACTCACAACATCGAAAAAATGGGGAAAGGTTCTGACGCGGTGTACAAGAAAGGTACGTGTTCTCGCTGGTGTTTTAATTCTGCACATAAATGACATCGGCTGAGATTGCATTTGTGTCCTTGAAGCCTTGTCTGAGGCCGCAGAGCGTTTCAAAGAGCTACAGACCGAGAGAGAAATGAAGCAGCTTCAGGAGGACAGAAAGAACGACAAGAAACCACCTCCGTACAAGCACATCAAGGTACGCTGAACCGACCCGGCTTGGACGTAAAACCAGCTGACTGCAATAAACTGAACACCTGGTGAATGGCACTTTGCTTCTTTAGGTGAACCGACCCATTGGGAAGGTGCAGATCATCACTGCCGACCTGTCTGAAATCCCCCGCTGCAACTGCAAGGCGTACGACGAAAACCCGTGCGGCATGGACTCGGAGTGCATAAATCGCATGCTGATGTATGAGTGCCACCCGCAAGTGTGTGCAGCCGGGGAGCGATGTCAGAACCAGACTTTTACAAAGCGACAGTACACCACCGTGGAGATTTTCAGGACGCTGTCCTGTGGGTGGGGTTTACGCGCAGTCTCTGATATCAAGAAGGTAAATTGGGGGAAAATGCACACCGAAATTCTTTTGAGAGATTTTGACACATTTTTACTTATTTCTCATTTTGTTCATTTTTTACCTCTAGGGTGCTTTTGTGAGTGAATATGTTGGGGAGGTGATCGACGAGGAAGAATGTCGCGCCAGAATCAGACACGCTCAGGAGAACGACATCTGCAACTTCTACATGCTGACCCTGGACAAGGTGATTCTGGAACGAATAGCTGTCAATGGAGTATGGAGATGGGATAAATGATCAAACACACCGAAGAAGATCAGAGGACTAAACTTGTTATTTTTATTATTAATTTAGGATCGGGTCATCGATGCTGGACCCAAAGGGAACCAGGCACGCTTCATGAACCATAGCTGCCAACCAAACTGTGAGACTCAGAAGTGGACTGTGAACGGGGACACCAGGGTTGGGCTGTTCGCTCTGCAGGACATCCCAAAAGGTTTCACTGATTGAATGGATTTTTTTTTTTTTTTTGCCTTCTTAAAATTAGTAGTTTTTACAACTTTTCAATTGTGGTTTGACTTGTCGCTCCAAATAATTGCATTTATTTAATGCTAAAGATCTATATGATAATTTGTTCAATTAAGAGGAGGAAGTCACGAGAAATGTTTCTCTGAAAGTTTTAGCTTGTAGACTCAACAGATTGGCACCCTAACCATGGATTTTAATAGTCCTCCATGTTGAACTCAGCCTGCTATTACAATAAACAATTGTGACAAAAATGTTAGTCCTGCAAACTAAAATAAAGACAATTTGATGTAATTTTGTTCTCCGTCAGTGAAAGGAAGCAGCTGAAAGTCTCAGTGGTCTACACATTTTTAGACAGAGGCTTTAGCCGCACTATTAAAACGTTTTGAAAACAGCATTTTCTTAAATCACATGCCTTTTTTCTCTAAAATCAGAGTTAGCAAACTCCAGTCTTCCACGGCCATTGTCCTTATGAGTTCGCATCTGAATCAAATGTATAAATTGACTCGTCAGATTGTAGTCAGGTTCCACAGAGTCCTGCTAATGGCCAGGATATTCGATTTAGCTGTGCTGAAGCAGAGCTCTAAAAGTTGCAAGACCCCCATGAGGCAAGGCGAAGCCCTTATTCATGTTTCATTCTTAGAAGATTTCTAAGTTTTCTGACTTTTGATATGTGATTTTTGCTCTTTACGCGTAGAAATTGTTTTCGACAATTAAAACATCAGTATGATTTTCACTTCAGGGGTTGAGCTGACCTTCAACTACAACCTGGAGTGTCGTGGAAACGGGAAGACTGCTTGTAAATGCGGAGCTCCCAACTGTAGCGGTTTCCTGGGGGTCCGACCAAAGGTAAAACTGTATATTCAACCCGTTGTGCCTCTGATCACAATATCACTCTAAAATAACACTCACCACTGATTAACCTTCACTTGGTTCCTGCTTTGCAAACCGCTCCGTTCCCCATCTTTACTCAGAACCAGCCACCAGCGGAGAAAATGAAACTGAAGGAAGGGAAGAGGAAGGGCAGCATGAAGAAGAAGACCAAGCAACAAGTAACGAAGGAGAGGGAAGACGAATGCTTCAGCTGCGGCGACGGAGGCCAGATAGTGTCCTGTAAAAAGCCGGGATGTCCCAAAGTCTATCACGCTGACTGCCTCAACTTGGCAAAGCGGCCTGCAGGTTAGCAGACCTACAAGTGTTTTTATCTTTACTTTTTATCTATTTATTAATGTCACATACTGTTTTTATTTTTTCTTTAATTATGTAAAGCACCTTGAAATGCCTTGCTGCTGACATGTGCTATACAAATAAAATTTGATTGATTGATTGATTGATTGAAGTGATAACCATTTCAAATTGAAATTTATACTCAAAGTAAGGATGTGTTTCAAACTGAAATGTTTGTAAAGTTTAACATGAGAAGAAGACAATATTTAAATATTTAAAACATGTTGCGCTCACACTAACTGTTTCAGTACTTTTCCACATTTCAACATGGCTGACGTGATGAATGATCTTGTCTGCAGGGCGATGGGAGTGTCCATGGCATCAGTGTGACGTTTGCGGTAAAGAGGCAGCCTCGTTCTGCGTGATGTGCCCCAACTCGTACTGTAAAGAGCACCGAGAAGGCAAGCTCTTCATCTCCAAGCTGGACGGAAAGTTGTCCTGCAGCGACCACGACCCGTGCGGGCCCGAGCCACTGGAACCCGGGGAGGTACGGGAATACGTGCCCAACATGGCCTCCATGAGGCCCGGGAACATGGCCGTGCCCGTCCCTCCCGAAGCGCTTCCGGCCGCCGCAGGAGCAACTCCTCCTTCGTCTTCTTCTGCTGCTTCCCTCTCCTCCGCTCCCTCCGAGGCTGCTCCATGCGACCGAGAGCCTCCCCCTCGCCTCTACATCAACACAAAGACTGCTACCTCCAGCTTCGTCCCCTCCAACACCTCCTACCTCACTGACAGAACCGAACTGAAAACCGGCGCCGCCCGCGAGGGAGAGGACGGAGAGGTGGAGGACGGCGAGGTGTACGGGCTAGACACGGAGGAGGACGACGACGAGGAGGACGAGGAGGACGAAGATGACGACGAGGACAATGAGACTCAGGAGATGGAGGTTGTGGAGGAGGAGGAGGAGGAAGAAGAGGAGCCGCCTTATGGAAGCGACGCACTAGAAGACGAAGAGGAGGAGGACGACGAGGAAGGAGGGGACGTGTGCGGGACGTGGGGCGGCTACGTGGACGACGATGCTGATGATGAAGAGGTGGAGGATTGGGGGAGGCTGGAGGACGATGAGAAGTGACTCCGTCTGTAACGCTGAGCAGGAGCTCCCTCCACGCGCTGACAGGACTGAAGGAGTTCCATATTTTGGTACCTACTTGAACGCAGCACTGCCTTCACTGTGGTACAGCATTGCCTTCTCGTCTCCAGACTGACAGCGGGGATGTGCTCTGGTGCTAAGGCTGAACTGTTGTCTCACTCAGTCTCTTTATATTCCTGTCCAGACTTTTATTTGTGTTTGGTGCTCTCTTGATTTGTTCTGTCTTTTCACACTGTTTACATAGTTCAACCCTTTTTATGTTTTTCTTTTTCTTTTTTTTTTAAATGTTTGTAATATAAAAAATGAGTGAGAAGTTTGACCAAACCGTCATCATGAGGCCGTCTTGTCTCGTCGTCCCCATCCTCTTTCTGTTTCCAGGAGTCGTTGAATCCCTGTTACAGTTAAGCAGAAACAGTACCTTCTCTGTTTGTGAGGAGTGAAAAATAAACCCACTGGAGTCATTCATTTCAGATAAACATTCTGGGTTTCTCTGTAATATCTGTCGGAACAAATTAGGAAAATAGCTACTGGGCAGATGGAGTTACAGAAAGTGTAGTGGTGTAATGGCACATCAGACAGGCAGCCTTTTTATTTATTGAAACGAATATGAGTCATGAAAAAAAATATTTTTGATTAAAACATAAGATAGAATTCCATGGTGAGAAACAGTGCTGACCAAAAAGAGGATAAAAAAAAGAATAAGGGAGATTAAATTTCCCTTATTCTTGCTTTTTGTCTGATATTAAGTGTAGCTTTTGAAACCTCTGGAAATTTTTAATTTGACATAAAAACATGCATGTCTAAGCAGATGAGAGCTCAAGGGAGCATGGTGATAAGGGATCCACAATACCAAGGCAGTTTGGGCATTTCATTTTTCCGCTCTCACCTTTGTGGGAACAGTTTAGGGATGGCTCCTTCCTGTCACAATATGACTGTGCAGCAGTGTATAAAGCAACCAACGATTATTTCAGTAATCAATTTGTCGCAATTAATCGTGTGAGCCCTACAAGCTTGGCGTAAGAAGATCTTCAGTGGTCTAGGCTTCTCTCAACCTGAGAGCCACGCTGCACACAGCTCCAGAGGACACAGTCACAGCAAGTTTTGGGCAGTTCATCAGTGAAATCAAGCCCCAGCATTTGTCCCCCGTTGTCCTCCAGCGCAGTAAAAGGATGGTGCTGGACAGCATCGGGGTCGGCCTCATTGGAAGCACAACAGATGTCTTTGATCTGGCCCTGCAGCACTGCCAGGTAAATTAAACTCTCTATTAACAACGTGCAAATCAGTGACTCTGTATAAACAGAAATGCTGAGTCAGGGGAGAGTCAGTGTGGAGATAAATGATCAAAGGAGTAAAAGATCTCTGGCTATTAAAAATGTTTTGGTCAAGAATGGCTCATTTACTAAAGTCTTTTCATTTCAGCACATGTATGCACCTGATTTCATCAGCTCTGTGTACGGCCGCAGCAACATCCGGCTTTCCCCAACCCTGGCTTCTTTCGTCAACGGAGTGGCGGTGAGTATGAGACCAAGAGACCAAGTTAGGTCTCTGGTTACAGGAACTGCTTTAACTCAGCTGTTCCTGCAGTCTGGCTCCTCAAGCAACACGGCTGGTTTACAAAAATCAAAACAAGCCACCTCACCCTAAATATTTCCATGAGCGCATCTGCTACCAGAGAAGCCACCGGAACATCAAGGTTGTTTCTTCAGGAAGCAGTTTAAGTAATTTTACCTTTTAAACACACCAGGTCCAGACAAAGACGCACTTTACTAAGACTGTAAACAGGTGACCTGAGTCAACGGAGCTATAAACTGCTTTCAGATTTATCAGCATCCAATGAATAAAGTAATTTTGCTTCCAGACTCACTCCTTGGACTTTGACAACACGCGGCATCATGCAACTCATCCGTCAGGAGCCGGTTCTCCTCCATTAGTGCTGAGTGACATGATGCTATATTCCTGAAATGCCAGTTCGTCAGAGTTGGAGTCGAGTTACACCGAGATTAAACGTCTTGAACAGAACTCTTCTTGTATGCAGCTTATTTTGGTTGTAACCTCATATGAGTTTATAGACTTCCTGTGCTGATGTCGGTACTTTTTACAGTTTTGCCATTATGCTCTTACGCTCAGAACGGAACATAATGATGTTAATGTGAGGGACAGCAGAGGCTCTGTAGCGTTAGCACATTAAGCCATGTGTAGCTGAATGTCTTGGGGTCCTCCAGAAGGGTGTGTGTTTTGTGAACAAACTGTGCTTGTTTTATTTAAAAATGATTAAAATGTCAAAAAGTTAACACTTTCAAAATCAGCTGTCGATTTTGGTTCTATTGGTTGTTCTGTTATAACCAGGAGCATAACACACCAGATATAAAAATATCAATTTAGTCACCAGGATGAACAGATATTGTCTAAAGTGTCAGTTTCTGTGTGTGTGTGTGTGTTTGTCTGTGTAAATTTCACTTCTTGTCCACTTTGCCATAGAGGCCAGATTTGTGAAGTTTGCTGCCTGCAGATGTTCTGTAAACAGATTCATCCACCTGAGCTGTGGTTCCCTGCAGCTTTTCTGTACAGCCATAGTTTTACCACACACACACTGTTTCTGTAATCACAGTGGACAGATGAGGGACATTTGTAATTTAACGTGTCAGTAGCATGGACAAACAATACATTTACCATATATTATTCTAAATGACAAAATGCAAAGTTAAAATATGACTTAAAACATCAGAAGCACTTGCTTAAGTTGTATGTTCTCTGTTGTTCTGCATTTCATTAACCAAACTATCGCCTTAATGTGAGAAACCTATAAGTGCCAGAAATGCCAGATGAACCTGAAGGTTACAGATATTTGCGAGTGAAACGTGTCTTGATGTTTTCAAGTTGTTTTACTTTAGTCAGCTGGAAAAAAAAAACTAACTTTCAAATGGTTAATATTTACTACAAAATAACTCCCTATAGTAAATTATTCTTAGATTTCCATTGCACTTTTTGCATGGTCAGTAGACTCGAAGCAGGGAAGTCATCCACCAGAGGGCAGGCTTGGATTCTCATTCAACTCACAGCTTCTATTCGTATCCTGAGGTGTTTTTGGCTCCTGCATGCGAGATGTAATGTAGAGTCTGGATCAAAGTTTAACGCTTATTTAGCAGACTCAAGCTTATCTAATCCCTCTTAAGCAGGTTAGGGTGGCGGAAATTGAAGAGGAACCTGCCAGACATTGTCTTGTTTGAAATGCCAATATTTAAATGTCTACACTCTAATCCATGGACATTCTTCCCATGCATTGAGTGAATTTGTTTGTGCACTTACCAATTTATGACAATGTTTCCTAATATCAGGCGTCACGATGCATATTTTCTTAAAGACAAATCTTGTTAAGGTGATGCTCTATTTTTCTTCCATCAATAAAATGATGACTTCCTTGATCTGACCCGCTATTTAAGCCACTCGGAAACTTGTTCTCAGTTTTCTGGCTTCAGACAGACAATAAAAATGAAACAATGATCTGTTGTTGTTTTGAGGAATCTCCAGTGGTGACACAGCTATAGATGCAGAGAGGCTAATATCTGCTTCTCTTTGTCAACATGTCATTTAGTTAAGGAGGAAATTAAACCATTCATCCCTCATTTGGTTATTGTTTAACAAAATAATGGTGGCGTCAGGTTCTTGCCGTCTGTTTTTTTTTTTTTTCACCAGAAAACTGACTTCCTTGTAAAACACCAACATTAAAGGAATAGTCAACAGAAAAGTTGTTTAAAATGCATCCTGGTGTTGATCTTTACGCTTATCTATGGATAAAACACATTTCCGTAGCTCTTTGTTACTGTTTTCCATCTAAAGACATCCTGCGGTTGGTTTTCTCTTGAAGATCATA